CATTTTTATCGGCTGTTTTTGCGGTCTCCTTTAGTTCTTTCCTCTCCGCTGCGGGTGGGCGGTCCGAGCCGTATATAAAATCGCTTCGGTGTGCCTCGGGCGGGGCGCGGCGGAATTCCGGCGTCGTTTTTAGACGTTCGGTGCCGGTCCCACTCTGACTCGGCTGCTGCCGGCTCTATAGAGACGCGTCCGTGGGGTTCAAACGGGAGTGCCAGGGAGGGAGACGGCACCGCCCACCGGCTGTGACATGTGGTGCAGTGGCACGTGTGACCCACTCGCGTGACGGTCCACTGCACGGTCCGTGAATAGCCAGCCACTCGCACGCCGGGGAGGCCCGAGCTGTCACATGGAGACGCCCAGTTAGCGATGCATTTGTGTTCACTTAGTGGGATGGAATCAGATTACCGAACAAAATAGCAGCCCTGCAACTTTTAACTGCAGTGTGCAATATGACGTTCATACTTTTTATTAACGGCAATGTAGTTGCGGGGACAAATGTCCGTTTAGATGCAGCTATTTGCAAACATTGTTAGTTATTTTCATGTCAAAAAGCTTTGCGAATTTCATTCAAGTCACTTATCCCGGAAGCGTTAGCACGGTCGACGGCCCTCTAGTGTGCGGTTCAGTTGACTCGTGTTATGGTTTCTTTCCCGCTATCTCTGTCACGTTTCCCAGGCTACCTGGTCTCGATGTGGTTATCGTGACGTTTCTGTACGTGCGCAATCGATATGTGTTTGACCTGTTTACGTGTTGAACAAAGGAGTTTGCCGTGAGCCCGTGAATGTGAAATACCTATTACTGTATAACGTCCGTGTTAACTAACAGTAATAAACGCATGAACTGAATAAGTTCAGACCGTTGCATTTGGTTAACGTCCTTGTTAACTAACTAGAATAAACGCATTAACTGAATGAGTCAGACCATGGCTCCAGATCCCTGGTTCATGCCTAATGCGAGAACTCTCATTTCTGTAATAAAAGGACGTCCGATGGGACAGGGATGATTGATTTTACATTTAAAGGGAGATAATGAGCTTTCTTTTTTCTTAAATAAAAATTACTCGACATCTATACTATTTCTACTGTAGTTTCTATAAAATATGAAAATTTCCTAGCACATTTTCGTGTGTGAAAAAGGTTTTTATTTTTGCAAAAAAGAAGCAGTACTTGCAGTACTTGTAACACCCACCGAAATGCGTTGTCCTTCTCTATAAAAAAGTCGCAGTATATGGCGCTTTTGTTTCAAACAGCGACGCTTGGGTTTTTGTTTATGTTATCGCCTTGTCGTTGCTTGGTTGTAAGGATTCTAATTTGAATTAGAGTTAATTCGGTTTAGATTTAATTAGATTCTAATTCGGGGGTACATAGTGCCTACTCTTCTTTGTTTCCAAGTATTATTTTGCGCCACAAATGAACGGCATGCGCCAGAAACGCAGCCAAATCTTGCGATTGCGACTACGAAATTCATTATTTTGGCCTCAGAGCCTGAAGCGAAAAATACAAGCATATTTATTTCAAAAAGACTTCAGGTTTGTCGAACGGTGTTATGAGAATTTTGATAACAGTACTGCATAAGTTTTTCAGTGATGCCGCAAAAGTGTTGTATCTATCTTCTTTTATTGTGCAGTCGGCGGGACCGATTCAAAATTGAGTCGTTGCTACTAAAATAGCAGCATATGGCCACAGATGATGAACAGGAAAAATAGTTGCGTAAATTTAGACATAAACCACCCCCAAACCATTAATATCTTTTGAAGGCACTATAGACGACCATTAACTAACTAGATGTGATGAAGATCAAATGTGAGGAATACGCTCATTTTACAAAATTACATGCAAGTACCAAAAAGTGATGTAAGTACTTATTCAACGGTCATTTTCAGCGCTCCCCGCTAACGTGACTTCAAGTTGAGATATTTGCGGCAAGGTACCGAATTGAGCAAAATGGTTTTAATTTACATTATAACTTGTGTTTTGTCAGAAAATGGTCCTAACTCAGATTTTGTGGAAAAAGGTCATAATCTCCCTTTAAAGCGAATTACTAACCTATTTACAAAGCTTTGTGTGTTTCCACACAAGCATTTCGCTTATGGATCCGCGTTCGTTTCATACATGACAGCTTGACGATAATGCATTCATTATCAAATGAGCTTCGGGACTTTCTATGGGATTTCAGTCATGTTTATCACCTCCGGCACGGCGAAGTTTCTCTTTATGGATACGTGCTAACACCATTTAAATTGCGCTTCTCCATGGAATTACGGCCTTGACGTTTAATTACTCTCGGCTAAAAACCCGTCGGTGTTCCACGTATAGCTCGGAACGCTAACCACACTACGCCGTGCGAACTTATAGGAATGATCGGAACCGTAGGTAGCAAAACACGATCTGGTGATCTCAGCGATGGCTGCCGAGATAGTCGTCTAATCAGGCAGGCACGCCACCGCTTCTCATCATTAACGGACAGGTTTCTGGACGACCGTGGACCGAATCAAATTCTGCAAGGAGACCGGGCCCGCGCAATTTGCCGTGGAGCGGCCCGGGGTCCCGCACAGCGAACCGGACAGTGGTAGTCTGGGCCGGGGTCCCGCGCGGCGGTCTGGGTCCGGGTCCGGGTCCTCTGCTCGGACCGGTCCCAGGTCCTACTCACCGGTCCTGCTCGATCGGAGGAGCCGACCCGTCCTGTCCGGTGGCACGACAGGTCGGCGCGCGGTACGCCCGGACGCGCAGCGTGGTCGAGCAGCGCTCCGCCGGCCGCCCCCTCAGCCAAGACCGGTTCTGCATACCTGTGGGCCTGTGGCCGTCGGACGAACCCTTCCGCGCTCGGATAGGGGTGTGTGTGTGCCGTCGGCGGCGTGAGGTGAGGTCCGCAGATTGAGTAGTTACTCATCGTCGCACGGTGCACCGGCGGACGACTATCAAAGCGCATCCACGAATCGCTCCGACCGCCGAGACCCAACCTGGTCGTTAGTGGTTGTCTCTAGGTGATGATTACGTGTCCCGTCCAGACGAGGAAAATATCATATCCGGAATCCGATGGGCCCCAGTTGCATAATAGACCTGCTTTCTCTGTTCTGACACTTCCCAGGTAGCTAACGTGTTCCACAATTGTTTCGTCAGGGGTTTTAAGTAGCTATACGAAGGACTCTTGGACTCTCGACAGTTACGTAAATGGGGAAATATTTACGAGACGAGAAGAAAGAACGCGTTATTGTTAGGTATTGTTTTATACCGCATTGTCTGCAAACAACGAGACAAAGAAACAGAACAATGCAGTATGAAAGGAGTGCATTAAAAACAACAGACTGAGATACCGACAAAGCTTGAATGGAAGAGATATGTTTCCTTTATCGTCTCTCAAAATCCGTATCGTGCTGTGGATAAATATTATTTGCTCGCCGAATGAATTTGCCACGTTAAGTGCACGTTTGAAACCACACTCCACAGTGCGCCGGGGCGCCGGTTGCAGCGGCCACAACAGGCCATTATTGCCGGGCTGACTCAGCACAATGACGTCACACCCGGACTGCAGGTGACGTCATCTGTCAGTCCGGCGGTGACGTCACCTGTCGGTTATAGCCGCCACAGGGGCTTAGGCTGACGTCAAAACAATTCTCATGGGCCTCTCTCACAGAGATCGTTGGTGGCCAGTGCAGTGGGTGATGTCATGCCGCGCTGCAAAATGCAAAATACCGAGGTCTGGCCCTCTGATACAGGTCTGCAGCCGCCGCCGTTCAAATCCAACTGCGAGGCAGATCACTAAAATGAACGACGCGGTGCTTCGGATGAGGTATACCGTGAATACTCAAACTCTAGCCAACTATGAATACCGAGTAGGCATTCGTGAAACAAAATAGCACGAATACTGAGCTCTGACGAAGCTTATTTCCACGAAACACCCGAGCTGTGTATGAGTTACTGCCTGCCGATCGGCGTTACCCCCGCCGTGAGCCGTGTGTAGCGGGTACCGTGCCCTTGCGTTGACCTCGCGCCGCCGTCGACGGAAACCCATGACGCACCTGCCGTGCATGTCTGATGAGCCCTCCTCGTGAGGAGACGAGGTGTAGCACCTGTTCGTCCCGCTGTCTGCATAATCAACTGCTTTCCGATACGGTGAATCACGTGGTGTTGTTGCCCGACTGATCGGCTGAATATCTTCTAACATGTCAGCTGGTTGGCAAACAAACGATCAAACCGAACCGGTGTTCGTTTGTGTGAGTTTTTGTGCTCGTTCCTTTAGAAAATCGGCCGTGTTTGTCCTCTATGTCGGGATGAAACTGCGGAAACGTGCCGCGCTCACGCCGGGCGTGTCATCGAGTGTGCTGGGTTTATACGGCTGACCGGGCGCGGTGGAACGGTGTGTCTGGATCGGTCCGTGACCGCCGCGCCGGCGAGACGAGAGCTAACATCACGGAGCGGAGCTGCGGGATGGGAGACGGGAGCTAACATCACGAGCCAGTCCGCAGCAGGGAGAGACGAAAACTAACGTCACGGAGTCGAGCTGCGGCGGGGAGGGAGACGGGACAATCACGGAGGGTTTACAATAGGGAGTAATGGAACAGTAGGGGATCTACCGCAGACGGGGACTTACGGGCAACTACAGCCGGGGAGACGGGAACGTTATGGGCATTGCAGGCTGAGAGATGGGTGCTCAATGGACGGCAATCGGCGGGGAGTTACGGCTACCAACTACCTCACCACCCCACCCTTCGTTCCGCTGAGCGGCTACAGCTGCTCGTTACGGAACAGTTTCAGTAGCTTTATGCATGACCGAAGAGAGCAGTGCACCTACATAATATTAACTGACTGTATCCTCTGCCTCTGCATCATGTCTGTGCGTGGTCTCCTGCGGTGCGATTGAGCAGCTCGCCTTGACCCACTCGCCTCTACCGCCGTCCGCCTACGTGTCATCACGCAGTGTGTTTTGTCACCAGCCAGCGCGAACCGCTCACCGCCGCTGTGACCGGCCTCTCACCGGAACCGATTGTTTCTCTCCCTCAGGGCCCGACCTCGGCGTACCACTCCGTCCGGCCGAGCCCAGCCCGGCTCTCTGGAGACTCCGAGAGGCGCCCCAGGCGCGCGTGAAAGTGATCACCGGACAGACATTCTCTCTCGACCGGGCGCCGATCGGTGCGTGCTGACGTCACTCTGACGTCATAGCAAACCGGCGCGTGCCGTTGGTAGCGGCAGCGGTGATCCAGGAGTCCCACGATGCCGACCAGCAAGAGTCGCAGTGTGACGAACTTGGCGGCGGCTCAGGCGGCGCAGTACGCGTCCACGCCGCACCTGTTCGTCTTCCAGAGCAGTGACGACGCGCCGGCGCTGAGCAAACCGTCGCCCATCTACCAGTCGGCCACAGACGTGCGGCGACCGACCGGTCAACAGGCGGCGCAGATAATCACGGAGAAGTACGACTCGTACCGGAACCTGGCCCGGGAGGAGGAGCAGGCGCTGGCTGTCCGAGAGGCGGATATTGCCCAGGTGGAGTCGTTCTTCGCCGGCCATCGGACACAGGTCAGTGGTGGATCAGGTCAGGGGTCAGTCCTATGGGGATGATGCTGGGTTGGGTCACCTGCCGGACGTGGTAGAGGTCAGTGCTGAGTTAAGCCACTGCCAGTGACCAGTGTTGGGTTAAGCCACAGTTGGGTCCGGATCGGTCATGCTGGTCTCTGTCAGTGCTGGTCTGCGATCGAATGCTGGGGCGCCGCTGGGATTGGTGACCGTTGATCCAAGTCAATGGGACCGGACGGCTGCTGCCGTGGCTGCAATGGCCAGTAGCGGCGGAACACCTTCAATCAAGGGGGGCACTGCCGACTTTTGGTCCCATTCTTTCCATGCAACGCCCATAGGGCTAATGTTAAAATGCCAAAATCAAAGGGGGGCACGGTGCCCCGGTGCCCTCCCCGTTCCGCCGCCTATGGCAATGGCGATTGGCGATCGACGTTACCATTCACCACCATCTCCACTGCTGCTGCCACTGATATCTGCCTGTGTCGGTATAGTGGCGCCATGGGTGTGGGACGTGTTACGCCCCGATATGGCAGTGATTGCGGCCGCCCGTACAGACAGCCTTTCGCCGTGATTCAGTCGTCCGACTCGGCACCGGAACGGCTCCCAAGAACCCGCCGCGGTGTCGCCGGTCATCCAGGTCACACCAGGTACCGCTGGAGGTCTATCACAGGCATCGGCGCCGCAGAAAAACGACAGGACGTGGTCGCCGGGGGAAGCGATCCATAGTTTTCCAGGCCATGGACCACCCATTGCACGGGTCGTGCTGTATCGGAATCCATTCAACCTGTTTGTATGTCACGCAGAGACCGGGACAAAAACGACGCCAGTGAAAACCGAGAGCTCAAACATTTTACCACGTGCTCAACGGTTAATGTGCGGCCGTCACGAGCGTTACACCGGGCCGTCACACGGGCAGAGTGACACCGGGAAGCGTCACGCCAATCTCGGCAGCGTCACGCGGGTCGGTGACGGACAGCCGGTGGATTCCGTGACACGTCACGCCGGCTCCGTGACGGACCGCTAGCGTGCCGTCTGGGCCGCCGAGCGCGGCCTATCTGTGCCGTGACAACCGTGACGGTCGCCGCGCCGGGTAACAGCCCGTGACGTGACGCGCGCCTGGCTCGCAGCGTCATGTGACGAGTCATATCGCCCGCTGGGAGAGGCGAGATCGTGACCGCCCGGCTTCTCCCGCTGCCCGTCACGAGGTGATGCACCTCTCCCCCCTCTCTCTCTCTCCACTCAGGCCAAACACAGCATCCCTCTCCATCCCTCTCCTCCCCGCGTGCTGCCATGCCGGGGCCCCAACAGGCCACAAAGACGCTCCATAAAAAGCCAGTCCCGGGAGGAGCACGCCACGCGGCGCCGTCCGATTCTCATGGTCACAGCGTCGTCTAGTCGCGACGGCGCATCTCAGCTGCATGACAATGAGCGCCGGAGAGCTCTTGGCCCGTCCACAGCCCCTCTCGGCGTGCCCGACACACGGTAAAACGTGTACTTAGACCGGCAGAGATGGACGTGGACGGTCGGCTTTCCTCACACGCGAGGCGCCGGCGCTGGCCCGGCACGCGATACAGACGTGTTTGCGCGCCGCTGCCGATGGCGTGTGCTGTAAACTGACGGTCGCTGGTCGGAGTGGGGCGGATGGGGCTGTTATGCGGTTAGAATGGATCCGCAAACTGACTGACAGCCGCTAATTACTCGTTTGTGTATAGCTGAGGTATAATAAATGTTTGTGGACCGTTTCTGGACGGCTCTGGTGGCGTCTCGTCACGGCGGTGGTTGATACGGCCCTTAGCCACAGATACTCAAGCTAAGTGTTGTCACTTGATTAAATAACGGCTGTTTGCATTGCAATTGACTCTGAACGTCAATGACTGGTGACGCTGACCGTTCCTTTCTCCCGACAGGTGATCGTCTGCCGCGCGCTGGCCAACATGTACCTCAGCTCCGAGTCCAACTCGTGGGAGCTCAAGTACACCGGCATCCCGACCCTGGTGCTCGACTGCGGGGACACACGCAGCCGCGGACGCCGACAAATCCAACTGGTTCTCGCTGAGAAGGGCAGCGGCTTCATGCTGTGGCGAGACGTGGTCGACAACCTCTCCAGCTACTCGGCTCCCGAGCCGAGCTTCCACACCATGCACCTGTCGACCGATCACCGGCAGAGGGTCGGCTTCAGCTTCGATGATACGGCGGCGGCCAAGGCATTCCAGGCGCAGCTGGAGACGCTCTGTTCAGACCCCGAGAACATCGCGCTCTCCGGGCCGGCGCACAAGAAACGCCGCAAGAAGAAGGTGGAGCGATACGTGCGGCCCCGCAAGGAGGATATCTCACAGCCGTGCTGCTTCCAGCATGTAACGAGTGTCGGCGTCGGGGACCGGGAGCGGCTCTACACACTGCAGAGTCTGGTGGGGACCGGCGAGAAGACTGCGTGAGACTGTCTGTCGGCGCGCGTACGAGCAGAGCTGTGATAGTTGGACGGCGAGGGAGTGTTTGTGGCCCCCTGCTGGATGTCGGCCCGCGTGGGCTGCGGTGGCGAGTGGGAGTGGTGTGGGGTGTGCGAGCCGGGCGCGGCGGGGAGGTTTGTATCCCGGCCGGCGGCCCGGAGATGTGGGACCGCGCCGGACAGCGCCGCTCCCCAGTGAAAGCTCCGTGAAAGCCGCGGCGGCCGGGTCGGCAGGGCAGCCGCCGGCTCCCCGGCCGGTGACTCACCGGGCCGTGCGTTACAACACGGCACCAGGTGGGTGACTGGCGGCCCGTGGGACCCGTCGGCAACACTGACAGCCGGTCGACGCGGCGCCCCTGACCTCACCCGACCACGGGACCGGCGGCAGGCCGGGAGACGCCCAGCGACGGGCAGTGGCTACCACAACAGACTACTCTGAGCTAATCCAGAGCAGAGCCCACAGCTGACCCGTGAAACAGGTCACGGCCAACGGGTCATAACAGCCCGGCCGACAGCGCAGCCCGGCAACAGCCCACCGACGGGCTAGAAAAAAAACATCGACCGTCGACGCTTCTCAGCTGAACACCGACCGGCCACGAGCTCCCGTGTTGAGTGCCAGCCGAGTGCCGAATGAGCGATGCATCGAACTCGTTAAATGATAACTAGTCAGACAGGGCCTGACCATGGCAGTGAAGCGCTGACCAAGCAGGTCGCTCGCTGCAGCTTTCCGGATGGACTCGAGTGCTCATTTTTCCATGGTGTGATGAAGTACCGCTTCGTGGAACGACAGTTTGATGACCTTTGTGGCCAAGCAACTCGCATCGAAACATACCGAACTGGGGATCCGTGAATTGGTCGCCGATTGTATTTTCTACATGACATGAGGTCGGCTGCCTCGTCCGACAAGTGTTCAGTGTTGTAACGAAAATGTATGCGCCATGTTTATTTTATGTCTATGGAGTGATGTGTTTTTGTGATTTTCAGTGCTGTTGTTTCAGTGAGATGTAGCCGAGCGATGAAGTGAGTGGCATACTGGAAGAGTTGACTCCGGTGTATCGTGCGCTATTGCAGGAGGTCATTGCTTTTTCATCGGAGTCAACATGCTGAATAAATGTACGATTTTTGAATGCGTCATTTCTACATCATTCTCATCAGATGTCGGGCATGTTAACGGAACAATTTATACATGCAGAAATCGATTCCGCAATAGTTACCACGTACAATCATTTGTGGGCAGACTACCATCACGACCGATTTGGAATACGTGAGCACGGAAGAAGAAGCCACCATAGAGATCATAAGTGGAAACCACAACGTGGGGCCAATGTCCATTACTTATTTGCATTCGCAGCTTATCCCCTTTTCCACGAGGTGCTTATCAGATAGATGGTTCAAGATATTTATGCCTAGAACATTTACACTGCCAAAAGTGTTGCCTTTTGGTAAAGTGTTGCCAAGCGGAGCCGGCAAGCTTTACCTTATCAGTTTAATATCTGTGAATCTGTCATGATTTGCACATCGTATCAAAACCACCACCAACGGTTCCACCCATTTTCTCCGGTAGATATATCACAAGATGTATGCCAAACTTAGTACGAACTAACTAGGCCAACTAACTGGATTATTGTAGGCCAGGGATAGAACCGCTTATCCTCTCACACCACTCAGCAAGGCCCGGAACAAGCGACTCAGCAACCGTCGGCTATTATCCCTTATCCCCACCTAGTAACCATGCGAGACCACACCGAGCTCTGAAGACGCACGCGGGACGTTGACCTATCACCTCAGCAAGGACTTGAAACTCGCCACACCTGACACACGCAGAAGGAAAACCCGCCGGCGGCCCGGAAATCAGCCAGCTCACAGGACAGCCCGCAACTGAGCAGCTGCAACAGCTGATTAGGCGCAGCTTGAGCATCGGTTTTAGCTCGGATTACTTTTATGTGAAGTAGGTAAATGTAGGGTCCGCACCGACATGTATGCGAACATGCTATGATTTTAATCCAGCGAACCAAACTACGCACATATACTAGTGATTCAAAGAAAGAAGGAGAAATTGAGGTTGCAAGGAATAAAAATGACTGCGATGTTCGAAGCTTGCGTGTATTTGAAAAGCGAGACAATAGCGACAACGACATTCTGCTGTTTTTTCTTCAATAATTCCACTTCAAGATGTGCTGCTACTCAAGCGTTACAATTTCACACACTACCGCGAGCAGCTTCAAAACCTATTTGGACTGTTCTTTAAAGCAAGCCTGACCAAAAACCACAAAGCCACCGAGATAGATTGACACTGGTGCAGTTTGAAGATATCCGCTGTTTGTTCGCAGGTGTCAGACGTCAGTTGAAAACAACAGACTGGTTGACTAGAAGGAATCTGACTCGCCAGTACACCGTTTATCGCTACTTTACCATCATCATAGATCAGTTGTTTGCGCTGTTCGCTGTCGTATCGTTATTTAACCTACACCGAAAAGTTTACTTATGTAAAGCGGTAAATCTAGAGTTGTTCGCCTGGCAACTATAGTGCAATCGTTACAAACTTCTAGGAAACAAAAACCTTTCCAAAACAGCCATAAACAGCAAGCAGTGCTAGCATGTAACTATGCCATTTTTCGGAGCGATTCCGATCTGACGGGTGTGAAGCAATAGCGGTACCGTCCCTCCGGTACCGGGCAGCACGCGAGGACAGTGGCGACGGGTCCGGGTCCCGTCAGGCACAGCCCCTCCCCAAAGTCGTAATAACGGGGCGATAACTGGGGAACGCTTCCACTTGGGTCTAAATGGAATAGCGTGCTCATCTGGAGAAAACCAGCATTTTTGCGCTACGATCATCGAGCATTTAGTTTTTTTTTTTTTTTTACAAAAACTAGGAATGGTATGTTCTCCAATAAGCAGCGGTTTCTTTTTTTCCGCTCACCCACTGAATTTTTCTCATCCCTCCTCGATCGCAATAAGTCTCGATCGAAAACCATATCATCGGCCACCCCCTCTCGACCACTCCACTCTGTCCCTGCCCAGTGCCCACCCGCCCCACACCCGTCTGACCGGCGTGTGCTCACGGCGCCCGGTTCGACTTGATGCGTTTCAGGGCGCGCAGGGCTCTCTTGGCGGCCGTGCACTTGGCGATGCGGTAGTTACGGCCGAGGCCCTTGAAGCAGCCCTTCCCGATCACCTCCACCGTGACTCGAACCTTGCCGTTGATCTCACGCTCTGGTTTCCTGTGGGGAGAGGGAGAAAGAGGGGTTAGACAGGGCGGGCAATAACTCGAAGAAAAGAGCATGATATAAAATCAGAATGTGGTCTAAGCAGATCTGAGCTTCTCGTGAAAGGCTTAGCGGAGAGTAAAAACGGAGAATCCTACCTAGAACGGAATTACGGCACTGGGTGTGTCTGGAATGCGATTATGGTGATTCGGGTTTTCGGGAGCGTCCTTGGATGGTGAGAGATTGGTGGTGTTTGGTTTCGTCGGTGAATGTAGCCACAGGCTCAGTTAGTGAGTGATGGTGCGGGTTGATGAGTTTGTGACCGATGGTGAGTGGTAATAAGTGACTACATACCGGAATTTGGCCGTCTCTGGCTCCAGTTCCAGTAGCTCCCGGATGGGTGACTTAGGCACGTGTTCGCTGAATGTCTCTGTGAAAATAGGAGTCGGTACTTCAGTAACAGAATACTCAGTCAATAGCATACGATAGAGGAATGAAGCACTCGTTCAATACTGAGTCACTGTACACAACGCAATCTTATCAATGAATATACATACACCTGCTGCGTCGCAAGTCCGTCTATGTACCGAGCTGCCAGCATAAGATATCATAACAGCGCACAAATGAATCACAAGAGCAAAATATGCCACTGATTCACCGAGTTCACGGGGCGTGGTATCACGACTCCAACAACACCTGTCACACGAGTCAACGGCCATATCGATGACAAGTAGGAGTAAGCACTCTTAAAATAGCGTTTTTTACTGACATGGTACTCCAGACTCCAGAGTGACCGTAGTACATCAGTGATCTGTCTGTCTGTCTGCCTGTCCACTGTCTGAGACGTGTCAGTATCCATCGTATTTACCGGCCTTTCGGTTGTACCTTTCTAGTTCCTTTCATTCTGCTCCCCTCTGCTATCTTTCTACTGTTTCCCGCTCCCTTCGTCTCCCCTCATTACCGATCTCAGACCGCATCATCCGGTAGTAGACTTGCCACACTCCCTAGCTCCTGGCCTCTCACTCCTCTCTCTCCCCCTCTCCCTCTCCCTCTCTCTCCCTCTCTCTCTCTCTCCCTCTCTCTCTCTCTCTCTCTCTCTCTCTCTCTCTCTCTTTCTCCTCCCTCTCCCTCGTCCTTACCAATCTCAGACTGCATCATCCGGTAGTAGACTCTCCACACGGTGTCCAGAGACATTCCCGAGTCCAGGTAGATGGCGCCGGCCACCGACTCGAACACGTCACCCAGAGCCTTGGGCACCTCGATGTCCTCGGCCGTCTCACACTCGTCCTCCTGGATGTTGTACAGATACTGAAACAAGACAAGGGCGATAGCGGGGTTAGCTCAGGTAGCGAGGGTGGCGAGGGAGAGGGGTGAGTTGCGAGATGCAAGGAGGTAACAGCCTTGTCGGAAAATGCAAGCGTAAACTGCGCTGTTAACTGAGGAAGCCTTGAGTGAAATGATCTTTCGCTGAACATCTAAAGCTGACCTTGCAAAAGCAAATTCGGAAACGGAAAGTTTAACCTTTTTTTACCGGTATTAGTTGAACCGGTGTCCGATACACCGGTATTAGTTAAGAAGAAGAAAAACACAATCGACACCAAAAGAGACACGTGCTTCCGACTGGGCTCGACACCGGCAAAGTCCTGCCTCGACCTGCACGGGTACCCAGTACCCACCTCCTCTGCAATGCTGCCGCCCTCGCCGTACGCCAGCAGGAACTTGTTGATGACCTGGTTGAGCCCTGGCGAGTAGTGTCGGAAGTACTTGTGGAAGTCGTAGCGGACGGCCAGGGTGGCGAAGATGGCGTTATTGACGAGTGCCGAGCGCAGGTCGGTAAGCGCGCCGGGACTGTGGTTCCGCCGGTCCTCGTACAGGTGACGCGTGATCAGGTAGTCTGACGGAGGGCCAGGGAGGTCAGGTGGAGCACAGAAAAAGTCGCAGCAGCGGCAGAGCAAAAAGGTTATATGGGCAGACGGATGTAAATAAAAACAAGGATTTATTGACTCTTCTCAAGTAGTTCCAACGAGGTTATTGTTTCACAGATCGTAAAAGGCAAAACACAACCTAAGCAAAAAAGGTGAGTTTGTAGTCGCCAGAGCTGCTTTTCAAGTACCACCAGTTCAGCATCTACCCATGAATACCAATTCAATTAATGTCAGTCACGTTTGCCGTTCCAATGAAACGCCCCGACTCGCATCCTCCCACTCACCGAGCACGGCATCCCCGAGGAACTCGAGTCTCTGGTAGCAGTCGGTCAGCGTGTTCTGGTGGTAGGAGGCGTGAGTGAACGCCTGCAGCAGGTAGAACTTGTCGCGGAACTCGTACTCGATCAGACGCTCGAACTGGTCCAGGCCGCTGAGCAGCAACGGCGCCGCCGTCTGCGGGTTCGGCGCCCGAGTGTTGAGCGGACTGGCCGGCGCCGGGAGTTGGCCGTAGATAATGCGACTGCTGATGGGCAGCGGCGGCTCGGTGGGACGGCGTCGCTGGCGCTCCAGGAGTCTGTTCCGCGGCGCCGCCTCGTCCACGCCGTCCAGACGGGGCAGCACCTGGGGAAGGTGGGGGGCGTTACAGGAGCCGCCACAGCGCGCCGTGGCGGCAAAGGGTGTCACAAGGGGACATGACGGGAAACCTACAATATCGTAACTGACTGCAAAGTCGGGATAATAACTTCATACGACTTTATCACTAAACAACGCAAGCTATCTATAATAACGAGCATCACTCCAAGGCACCACCCGACACACCACTCTATCTTTGAGCTCTAAGTCTCACCTTAATTCCGAGCCAGCTCATGAAGACCAGCGCGCCCTGCGGCCCACACGACACCAGGTAGGCGCCAATCAGTGACTCCACGCAGTCGGCCACGCTCTTATCAGGGATGCTGTGCTGGGTAAGCAGGTTGTACGGCAGGAAGGAGGGCATGGCGCCCGCGTCCAGAGCCGCGTCCTCAGTCAGCTGCTTCATCCGCTGGCACTTGTCCCGCACCAGTCGGCGGACCTCTTCCTCGCCAGAGATCTGGGGAAAGGTATCGGGTGTGTCAAGAGAGGTGGAATAGCAAACCATAGGCGGTCACCTCGACAGGTAAGCGAACTGGAAGCATGACTGAAAGAACTGAGAAACTAAACTTGAGAGAACCGAGCAAAAAGATACAGACGAAAGAAGCCAGGCGGATGGAATTTCAACATAACATACTAACAATTATAAATAACTGATGCCTACTGATAGACATTATTAGTTTATAAAGTACTGAAAATAGACAAAGTTTGGAGGTACGCTAAATACGCCCTGTTTGATAGTACACCCCACAATCCCTCATCCTATAAGCAGCTGACTGCACCACCCTGACGAGTCTCACCTGTGCCAGGTCGGTCATGTCAGCCAGGTTGAGGTGGCTGGCGGTGACACCGGACTCGACAATCTCCTCCTCGAGTCCCTCTGGCACCGTGTAGCCGGGCGGCAGCCAGTTATCGTGCGGCTCAAACTTGGCCGCCACCATCAACTCTCCGAGCGCCTTGGCGCGCCCCAGCTGGTACAGGTTCAGATTGCTGACCTGCTTCGATCGTAGGTAGCTCAGTTTTCCCTCGTGGATGGTCGGGTAGGTGAGGTACAGATGTACCGTGATGGCGAACTTGAGGAACGAGTCGCCGACCGTCTCTAGTCGCTCCAGATTGATGCCGTCGTTGGCGTTCGACATGGTGAGCGCCTGGAGGAGCAGGGCCGGACTGGGGCCCGGGTGGCGCTCCAGGTCCGGCTGCAGGTCGAACGCTGCCGGTCCGCCGTCGGCCGGCGTGGCCACGATGACGTGCCCCGCCGCGCCGCCCTCTGGTTCAGGAGCACCACTACGGGTCTCAGAGTCTGGACGCGTAGTAGCGCCAGAGGACGGCGACTGTGCGCAGCCGGCGGCCGGCGGCGGCCCCGCGGAGACAATCGAGGCAGTGGCGGCGGAGGCAGAGGCACTGGAGATGGCAGCGGAGGCAGAGGCAACTGCAGCAGCGGAGGCAGCAGCGGCGGCGGCGGTGGCGGCGGCGGTGGCGGCGGCGGACGAGCGGCGCTCCTCGGCCGCGCGCGCGGACGCTGCGCTGACCGCAGAGGCAGTGCTCGGCGTGGCCACCGTACCGGTCTTGGCGGCAGCGGCGGCGAGCCTCCTCGCCATCACCAGCGGCTCCAGACTAGCTCCGGCCGGCAGCAGGCAGTTCTGCTGGATCCGCTGCCGCGCCTCCGCCACCTTCTTCTTCGTCCGCTCCCGCACCTCTTCCAGCGTGGTCGAGTCCTCCTCAAAGTCAAACACATCTTCTTCATCCTCCTCGGCGGGATCAGGCTGCGGGGCGGGCGGCGCACCTGTCGGTCGAGCCGCACTTCCTCCCGCTGCTCCGTCCTCTCCCTCTTCCTCCTCTTCCTCCTCACTGGAGTCGCTCAAATCCGACTCGGACGCCATACTGGCGTCATCACCGGCGTCACCCCATCCGCCGCCCCACCCTCCTCCTCCCAGGTAGGTGGGCGAGCCGTACCGCACCGGCGCGTTCCCGCTGCCGGCCCCACCCCAGGTGACCGTCGCCAGTTCGTTGTCCTCGGCCGGATCGGTTAGTAGTGTGATGGCCATCGGCAGGGTCAGGTCGGGACCCAGTTCCTCCAGCTCCGGGTCGTCGATTCCCGGTCCGGATGGTTCGCTCTGCAGCAGGTCGTTACTCCATGTGCCTGGGGAGCACGGAGAGGCGCGGAGTGAGGTTACACCGAGAAAGTGGGCTCAAGCTCATTTACGACACGATGCTCAAAATGTTCAGGCGTATTGGATACACTGAAAAGACTGAAGACTACATTCGCCGGCACGCACCCGTACGATGAAGACTGCGAAGTGCGAACGCACAAGAAGGTAAGGTGACACGCGATTCATCACAACGCTGAAAGCATATATTCTCTGTATATATACACCACGACTCACGAGCCACAATTAAGCTCTTTATAACATACCGCCCAAGCCAATCACAAGCGCGGCTCCCCAGACATACAACTCTCACCGATATCGAACTGCTGTCCGCGCGGTCGGCGGCCGTCGGCGGCGGCCGGTTTGGCAGTGGAGGTCGGCTCACTCCCGTCCCCTCCACCCGAGGGCCGGCGGCGCTGCGGCGAGTCTGGCTCCTCGCCTTCCCCGCCGCCGGTGGTACCGCTCTGGTCGGCAGAGACGGCCCGATCCCGGCGCTCCAGAACCTCGGCCAGACTCCAGCCAAAGTCCAGCTGCGGCCACGTGCAGCCTGGAACGACAAATGATCTCGGTGTCACAAAATGATATGTAACCCAGCTTACACGCAAAACACAAGACTTTCAGGTCAGTGATATGTTGAACAGGAAGGGAAATCAGTTTTAGTCAGAAATTAAGTTGACGTAAAATTTGGTAGGCATCATAACGAAACCTACTTGACGTTCTCTAATGAAGTACACATCCAATCTGACGTGCATACGGCAACCGAGGGAGCCGACCGCCTTCTCACCCACCTTCCGCGTCCCTATGCTTTTCCCTTGCCACCGTCCGTCGCTCCATCTCACCTGGCGCCAGTTGGGGCGTGCCCAGCTGTATCTCCTCCGCCACTCGCCGCCGGAGTCCGTCCGCCACCATCACCCCGTTCAAACGATACAGCACCGACGGCAGGGTCACCACTTTGCGCCACAGGGACGCCGGGAACGGGTGCACCATGCACAGCTCCGGCACCAAAATCTGCTTCTGTTGCAGTGACTCGCGCTTGGCCCGCTTGGTCTCCGAGCTGGCGGCCGGCAGCGCCACGCCCTTGCGGTTCACAAACCTGGCGAAGGTGGGAGAAGGGACGAGAAAAGGGTTAAACACAGAGACAAGAAGACGGGGATCCGAACAACGTAATAGTGTGACGCACTATAAATCGGAAAAGATCTCGACCAGATTCGGTCCACTCAGACATCTCTGGGTTCTCAAACAAGTGATTATTATTCTTGTTTACGAACGCTGCCATGGGAAAGTTATAAGGCGTCCATGTTCTACTTTGAGTTTCGATTAAATATCTACCCTTGTACAGCATCAGCCATCCATTGCACCCACCCCAGTTCCCTTCCATCAGCCCTCCACCAGCCTTTCCCCTATTTCGTAAAACCGCCCCAGAAGATCCTCTCCCGCCCCAGCCGCCACGGACCTCGGCGTGAGCAGATTGAGTCGGGCCGACGTGTGGTCGACATCCAGCAGCGGCTGCGTCTGGTTCTGGATGCGGATGCCGTATTTGGACTCGTAGTACTCGGTGAACGTGCGGAAGTGGTCGTCGGGGAACTCGGAGCCCGGGTTCAGGTGGTGGCAGATCTCGGCCACGTAGAAAAACTGACGATGGAGTGGAGAGGAAGTTAGTTGAATAAAGTCGACAGCGGCATCCAACGAAAACAGTGTCTCAGTCGATTAAGAATCTAACAGTCATTTGAGCTTATCTTGAGCTGCTTTGGTTTCGACTGATTACGACCGTTCAACGGCTTCAAGCTCATTATTTGTGAAAGTTATTGAGAAAAGGAGTTGGCAGATAGGTTTGTGAAGAACCAAAGCGAACGCATTCAGTTCAGCTCTCTTTCCTAGTCTGTCGAACTGCTCTATTTTACAGCAGCTCAATCCGCACCTGCGGCTGGTCCTGGTTGCGGTACCAGGGCATGATGACCGCGTCCAGGAACGTCTGTCGGTCGAACTGAAAGCCCTTCCTCTGCTCGTTCGACAGCGGCTGCAGCTTGTCTGCGTAGCGCGGCGCGACCGCCTCCAGAAACGGCCAGTCGACTGCCAGCCGCCCCTCGCCGCCGGCGCTGGCGGAGGGCGCTGAGGAGGGACGGACGGCAGTCAGACAAGCTAGTCTTCGAGATTTAGGAAAGACTTGCATGAAGCACGGCAGTCAGACTCATGTCTGAGATCACTGAGTTATGGGACGTCAGTGTCACAAGATCATGCTCCATCGGGTATTACATGACCCATGCAGCTTTCCTCTCAATAACAAATAGCAATACAGTTACAGTCTCCAACACATATATGGTTCCCCTTTAACACAAAACAGGCTCCCACTCTTGATTATAATCAAAACAACCTTAGTTTATGGTAGTCTACCCGCATCAAACCACAAGCAAACCGTGTCAACACAGATTTAGTCCAGGGTAGCCGTAGGTAGCGTACCGTTGTTGATCGGCACCACGAGGAACCCTGTGGAGCTGTCCTCCGGCTGGAACCTCATCGGAAACTTCTCCAGCCGAAGTACGGCGCAGAAGACGAACCGGTGAAACTGGCTAAGCAGCTGCAGCTGGCTCTCGGACAGCTGCAGCTGGTCTGACACCAGGCGCACGGATACCACCACCTCGCCCGAACGGGTGAAGATAGGGAACGCGCACACCTGAGGGGACGGGGAGAAATGGGCCAGGTCAGAGGGGAGGCGATCGAACTCGACGACTGTTGTTGAAAGAGAGAAAGTTGGAATGGACATAAAATTTCAAGCAACCAACATCATACTGACTTACTGAGCATATCCGATCTGTCAACAAGAAATTCTCAGTGTACAGTGACAGTCACGATTCCCATCAGATGCACCGCTCGCGACCCCTATCGTCCCCGTCACTACATCTCCTCTGTTCCTCCCATCGCTCGAGCAGCCCATATCCCTCTCACTCCATCCGTACCTCCGCTTGAGTTTGTGTCCGACTCCCCTGTCCCTCTCTGTCCCTCCAACATACCCTGCCCCTCCCCTCCCCCCGACCGGGCTCCTTACCTCTGGCAGTCGGTGTCCGGTGACCAGCCCGAGCCGCCGCGGGTCCTGCTCCGGTCGGAACAGGCGCCTCCCGCGCGTGTTCTGGTCCTCTGGGATTGGACACGTCAGCTGCATGTCGAACTGGTATAGGTAACAGCGCTGACCCGGCTTCAGGGCAGGACCCGCCAGCGGAGCAGCCACCTGCGCGGGGGCAGATAGGGTTGGATAAGTTCGGGGGGGGGGGGGGTATCGTAATTACGGTATGAATCTGTAGAAAGGCATGTGGCAGGTTCTGTGCATTTAATTCCTATATAAATGAGATAATGAATGGTGTGATCGCTCCTTCATTAATAAAATTGCCAATGTTATCCAGGTTCAGGACCAGGATTTAACAAAAGACGTTGGTAACAAGTTCGAATTCATCACGTTGCTAAGACGCTTTCTCTTTGTGAGAAACCTCTGCTCTCACTAAGCGGATTCCGTCCACCCCCGTGCGCGCCACTCGCCTGTTTCTTGTAGTACTGTCTGCGTTTGGTGGTTCCCGGTCGGGGTGCGCCGTCGGGCACCCACTCGCGCTGTTCGTCAGCGCCCTCCTCCAGCAGCGCCTCCTTCCCGATGGGCAGCAGGTGCTGGTCAAGCTCGTCAGCTTCGTACAGCACCTGGCACATCTTGAGCGCGGCCGACTGACGCGCCAGCAGCTTACTGGGGAACCAGTCACTCTGTGGGAAGACGGGAGAGATAAACAGAGAGAGACAAAGGGTACCAATCATTCACTCTCACTGACGAACCACGAGTCTTATTGCGGTCTCACTCTTAAATACATATAAAAACCTAGCTTCACAACTTGATACATTCAAACATCTGGATGCGCGGCTGCCACTTCCATAAGCCATCCATTACCGTCCGGCACACCTCACATTTCAAAAATAAATACGATGGGATAGATGTAGCCCCAAAGCACGAAAAACTGGCATGACCTCTCAATATTTCGTCCACACTTCCCGTCCCGAAAAATATCCGGCCGGCAGACTACACTCACAAAGACTAGGTCCTTGACGGGCGAGTTGACCGGTAGTCGCAGGGAGCAGCGGCGCATGGGCGGCCCTTCACCGCCGCCGTCCAGTTCCTCAATCTTCCACTGGGGTGTCAGGCGGGTAAACGTGTCGCTGGGGAGACGGTTACAGTACCTATGGGGAGAGAGGGGAATGGGTGGTTAGTGTCTGTCAGAGAGGGGGAGGTTACAGTGGGGTTACAGTGGGGGATGGGGGGGGGGGCTACGATACCTATGGGGAGAAGAGGACGGTTACAGTAGTACCTACCAGGGGAGGTAAAAGAAGACGGTTACAGTACCTATTAGAGGAGTAAACAATCACGCGGTGCCTGTTTGGGGGAGATCAGCCCCCACTCACTAACCTGTTGACGAGTGAGATGGCCGAGTTGCGCGTGACCATCGCGCCCGCTGCAGCATCTGCGGGCCGGTAGGGTGGGATGCGGCGCTCGGCCAGCTCCCGGAGCCGGTCAGTCTCCGCGGGCTCCTCACTATCCTCCAGACAGTGGGCCGTCAGCCGGCGCTCGATCACGTGGTAGTCGGCCAGCTCTCTGAGCAGCGTCTCACTCTTGTCCTTGGTCACCAGCAGGAGGTAGTGGGCGGCGGTGGCGCGCGCGCGGCCCTTGCTCTGCACGTACGAGCGGAACTCCGCGGGCTCGTCGAATCGCACCACCAGGTTACACTGCGGAATGTCGACACCTTCCTCCACGACCGACGTGGCGACCAGAAGGTTACACTCGAACTTGCGGAACCTGGCGACACGGAACGGACGAGTCAGCGGGTGAGAGGCGAAAATGAACAGGAGGGGGTCGAGGAAAGTGAAAGCAAATAGCAATAATGATCTCTATATTTGCTTAGTTCTTTACGAATGACAAAAAATACGCACTTGTTACTGGAAAACAGTCTAAAACTATATCGGTAAAATATGGCGCAAATATTTAATATATGAAACGATTTTCCGACTTATTAGCCGAATTAATCCATTGGAACAATTTCTTAGTTCAAATAACAAGACGGTTTTCCTAGACCGCTATCCCTGCTAGCCCACCCAGGAGCTATGACTGTGAAGCCCACCTGCAGAGAACGTCTTCCTGCTTCTTCCGCTCAGCCTGGCCAACCTCGGCCGGCTCCAAGTAGGTGTTCTTGTTGCTGCCCACGATGTACTGCGGGTAGATGAAGGCCAGCTCGGGCGTCACATCGCGCAGCTCCTTGATGAGTCTGTACAGCACCCGGGCCGTGACGCGCTGTTTCACAAACACCAGACCGCACACAGCCGCAGGATCCTCTGGGTTGTATGAGAACCGCGGCGGTGCCTGGCGATCGCGGTCTGCCTGTGTTTCTCCCGCCGCTGTTGGCGGCGCTCCTGCCTGACTCGTCCCAGCGCCGGATGGTGGTGCCTCTGCTGTCTGACTATGAGCAGCCCCAGCCGTCGTCGTTCCATTCTGGACCACCCCGGAGTCCCCAGCTGCACCGGCCGTCGCCGGTGGCTCAGCGGAATCCCCAGACGCTGGCGATGTGCCGCTCCCCGCAGCCGAGTCCGTCGGGACACACTCTCCGTTCTCCAGAGGCGCAGTCGGCTCGGCGGCCGGCGGAGCGAAGGCCTGCAGAATTTCGAGCAGCCGGAGAACCTTCGGAGAAGAGTACTGCCAGATTTGTTCCCGCAGGTCCAGCTTGTCAAAGACGTGGTCACATAGAGTCCTGGAATGGCGCAGAGGCGAGAGTGCTGTAAGGAGCTAAGTAACGACAGAGAGCAGGATTGCGCAGCCTTTCAGTCCCAAGGTCTCGTTCCAATCATCGAATGCAACACATGAATCTTTTAGCGTAACGCGCCATGCGCTGGTACTCGGCCCCGCCTTCACTTTCAACTCAGCAGAATGTAAAACAATGTTGGCAAGCGATCAGCCAGCATGCGTTTGCTATTACCCAATACCAACCCGGCCTCCGTGATAGTTTCTACGGCCGTCAGTCGTCACACTGACCGTATTCGGATGAGGTCGGAGAACACCACTCCCAGCAGGAGGTAATGTCGCACGTAGCCGATCTTCCTGCGAAGCTTCTCCACCTCAACTAGCAGCTGGCTGGCCGCACGGTCGGCACACCACGGACCTAGCACGCACGCAGCAACACCCACACGGTCAGACAGAGAGGACGGTTAGGGCTGGTCATGGATATGGAAGATGGCATAGCGTCGGATGTGTAGTGAGTGCGTGGGATGAGCGATCATTGAGGTGGTTGGGAATGACATGATGATAATCTCACGCATGGTGAGACCCCGCAACGCGCAACTGACTTGCTTTTATATATTCAAATTACACAATTACTTCCGAGAGATAGCCAATACAATGAGGAAACACACCAGTACCAAACACGGTGGTGTGCCTTCAAATATAGTACGGGTACGATTACGAGTGTGACACTCACCAAGTTCGTTGAGTATGTAGAGGAAGTCGCAGATGATCTGCTTGGGTTCTTTGATCGGGTCCGGCTCTCCGGCCAGCAGCTCCTCGTACATGTCGCCGTAGATTTCTCTGGGCTCGTACCGGTGCGTGGTGAGGAACTGAAGACAGCGGAGCGCCACGGCCTCCAGCCGGCGGTGCAGCTGGGTCGGGTCGTCCACCTCGCCACACTCGACAATCACCTCCTGGGGTCGGGTCGAGTACCTGGGGGGCGGAGATAGGGGTATGACTCTTCACACTCGACAACCACTTCATGGAACCGTATCGAGTACGCTACAGAGGGGGACCGACAAGAGGTGAGAAAGACACTAGGGGATAGAAACCTGACCATGTGGTCAAATTCAATCGGTGCAAAACTGCGATAGGAGTGAGCCGTGACGGACGAACAGATGTCAGCTCCCCGTAAAAAAACTTTCACCGAGCGATCATAAATAAAAACACGCATGCAGCCTCGGAAAATAAGCGACACGAGCTAAACATGCCATTGCCATTCGACAAACATCTCCGGGTACGATTACCGCCGCACGCCTCACAAACCTTGACTTCTCTCTACTCCAATACCAGCGCCCAACCAACCAACCCCATCAAATTCTCCTACCACCTCGCCTACTCCCCTCTCCTCGGCACCCGTGTACGCTCTCCACTCACTTGTTGACGGCATCCAGGTCGTGTACGGTGCTCACTGCGCAGCCCATGCTGTTCTGCAGGCTCTCGATCTGGGCCTCCAGTTTCACGGGCGTCACCTTCTTGTTGATGATGGACGCCGTCAGACCGAGCACCTTGGGACGCTGGCCGGCCGGCGCCTCGTTCACCAGCTTCATGATCTGAGCGGCAGAGCGAGATGGAGAGCTAAGTTATCGAGGCAGCTAATAGACGGAGATATGCACAGATGACACGTCATGAGAGCACTACAGCTAATGACTGGAATGGTGGCTTTGCTACTGAGCGAATCTAAATATGTTTTAAATAATCAACATTTCAGCCATCATTCCTCCTTCCCCACTTCTCCTTCAGGCTATGAGCCCAAGGATCGCGCCTTCTGCTAGAGGAGTGCTTCCTCTATCAACGAAACCATACCTGTCTCATGGGGCTGTCCTTGACAGTGTGGTGGCACTCGTCCAGGACGAGCAGGTTGACCCGCGTCACGTCCAGGAACCCGTGCAGCAGCATGTTACAGAAGATCTGAGAGGACATGACCAGCACCTGGTGGCGAAAGAACGGGGTGAGGTGTGGTTTACATGGTAGTTGAACGACAGTACGCTGTGATCTTAAAATGTCAGTCGATTTTCGATTTATACGTGAATATGAACAAACTGGAAAAGGCAATTTATCTTAGAAATTACTCGAAGCGCCGTTTAGTGTGATTCACGACAATCGAAAATGGCAATCAGCGATAGAGCTAAAAAGGCAGGTAAAAAGGAGGGATCTTCTAAAAAGGAGGGGTCGTGGGTCGAGACAAGGAAGGGAGAGAGACGATACGGCATAAGGAAAAGAATTAAAGAGATAAAGAACAAAAGAGACAAGAGGAACACAGGGAGAGGGGGAAATAAGAAAAGGAAGAATGGAGAACAACAAGTGGATTTTCTATCTTCACGATTGACTACCTAATACAGAAATTTATAAAGCTCGAAATCATTTTTGCCCCTGGGTACACCCAATGTGCAGGGCGTCCAGCATCCAGCATATTGGACGAAACTGCCAACTGCGCCGTCCCCCCTCTGACCTGATTTTCCACCAGGTGCGCCTCCCAGTCGTGTTTCTTCCAGGCGTCGAGCGTGGAGCTGCCCACGAACTGTCCTACGGTGAGGTCGGTGTGCTGCTCGATGGCGCGAGCCTGCTGCTCCACCAGAGGTACCGTGTTCACGACAAAGAACGTACGCTTCCCGCCCTCCGACCACGCCCTGAAACACGCGACACGACGACGTTTGGGGATGAGGGGCATGGATGGCAATCACAGTGAAGCGCTTTTCTTGTAAGATATTCGTAATTTACCAAAAATAATATGGAGAGAACTGATAACAAGCTCCACGACACAAATCGCACACATACATGCAAGTCCGAGCCGAGTAAATTATTTTCTGATTGATATTATTTAATGCGAATACAGCTTAAATGGTTGCCCTTGATAACATCTGAACACCGCATAGAGAAATGGAAACATGCCGACGGCATTTATCGCCTTGATATCGACAACTTTCAACACAACTTACACCCGCCCAGAGCCCTCATGGCTTGTTGTCAGCCCGCTGCGTACCTGCGGACGTCGGGCGCCATCTCCTTGATGAGCAGAATAGCGATGAACGTCTTCCCGCTGCCGGTTGCCAGGTGGGCGATGATGTTGCGCTCCTTGGCATCCTCGAGTATCTCTACTTGGTACTCGCGTGGTGTAAAGACGTTCGGCGCAATCTGGTCCACGATGCCGCGGTGGGCCATTGCGGCGATAGCGCGGCTCCGCGTGCGGAGGACGTGCCGTTAAGAGAGAAAGCTGCTGCTAATATGGCGAGTAACTAGTTGCAATAATCTGGATGAACGGCTGCTAGTAAAGTTCACAGGCAGCTTATGGTTGTCTGGGTAAGACTGTCAGAACATATAGGTAGATGATCCTGGAACAATGGAAAACCAATCAAAATAAGTGGTAACTATTCAGTCAAGGCTTGGACTATGCATTGCAAGCACAAATGTTGGTTCTTAGTCTGTGACCCACTGAAGCTCATAGATTTTCATTCGCTGCTGGGGGATGCTTGAACCCCCCACCCCTTCTAACACTGCTACTAGGTCACATAGTGACACAAGGTAAGCTGCGTTCGAATGAGCCTAAAACCTCAAAGAAAGTGCTTCAAGTATTATTCACTGTTCAGGTCTGGTCATGGGTCAGGTCACATGAACCTAGATCAGGTCAAGTTTGTGACCTCACCATTTTATCCCAAAGGCAATGGGATAATATTGAAATACGCCTCTTTTGGACAAGCGTCATACTTAACACTCAAATATCTTATTATAGGTAAATACAAAGTACTGAGTCAAATTATTCGTAACCCCTCTGTATGGCCCTGAGGTCATCTTAGGTCATGAAAGGTATTCAACAGTTTTTTTTTTCAATTTCAATTCAACAGTTTTTCAATGAACTTTTGATAGAGGCATGCTAGAGCGATGGGAACACCTTAGATGTGTTCAGCTCGATGATACGGATCGATTGATATGCAGCGCAGCCTTTCTTGGTCAGGTCATGACGACCTATGACCTATGACCAAATTTTGAAGTTAAACTTTCAAGGTCAAATTATGGTTTATTCGTCGCATATCGACGAGAAGAACACGATGTCAGTGAAAGTACGCTCGCGCAATTAAGTCAAATGTTAACTATTGGAGAAAAACTGTTTCAGCAAAACAAATGTCTATTTTGACAGTTTTTACCCTCTGCACTCTGCAGGCTAAACCATATTGACCTTAGGTCAAATCTGAGGGATTGTTCAAAAGGAGCGTTAAAAGGGCTATCGAATGCGCTTTTCCGCGGCGCTGTAGCTCTATTCATTTCCGAGTTATGCGCCGGTTCATAAAAAATGTCGAACAAGGCGAAATTTGACCTCTGATGACCCCTGGTGACCTGACTTAAACATGCCCTTAGTAGTTTCGCCATTATTTTTAACGCTCTTTCGAGCGCCACCACTGTGTACCGCTACATGACCCAAGGGCCCAATTAGAAGGGGTGTGTTCACCCCCCCCCCCCCCCCAGCAAAGGCGTGGAAATTCAGGATCCCCAGCGGGCAATGGTCAATGCTTTTTCCATAAGACTCTCTCCGATTTGACCTTAGGTCAATGGTTAAACCTTCAGAGGGTAAAAACTCAAAATAACATTTCTGTGGAAAATGTTTGTCTGCAATAACTTTTGTCATCTGACAAAGCATATTTAACATTTGACACTCGCAATAACTTTTGAGGATAATCAGCTAACCTAATAAGTTGTAAAACTGGAAACAAAACCAACAAAGGTTACCAAATGAGACCATCAAGCCATATGATCCCCTGATCAAAGTGCAAGGGAATAGGGGGTAAGTAAAATATGAGACCTCTCACTTTGAAGATGTCTGAGCCTTTTCCAATGCAACCTAATGTGTGTCACTGTGAATTGCTCAATTTTGTTATGCTTGTTGGCAGGGCTGCGGAGTCGATGGATTTTCGGCGACTCTGACTCCGACTCAGGCTTTCAAAAACCAGCTCCGACTCCGACTCCGGGCAGAATTGTTGACTCCGACCGACTCCAACTCCAGACTCCGACTCTGCAGACCTAGCAGGGCTGCAGAGTTGACAGATTTTCGGTGACTCCGACTCCGGCTCGGGTTTCTAAAATCGACTCCGACTTCGACTCCGACTCTGGTCACAACTGTTGACTCCGGCCGACTCCGACTCCGACTCCGCAGCCCTGCTTGTTGGGCATGCAAGCTTCAACCTGAAATGTTGCTTGCCAGGCTTGTTAATCTAAGACACAGCCAGGTTTGCATTTTAACTTGCCAAGCCTGCGCTCCCATCAAGCTGGGTGTGCCTCGGATGTGCACTTGTCCAAGTTTGCAGTCTGGGTAACAAATATCGACATTATGAAATCAAAATTTCATGCATGTTGTTGCCCTCAGAAACTGCTAAAAAATTTAAAGTGATTGCCCAGTTACTGTAGCTATGGCGGGCATTATAACTTTTCCTGAAGCAAAGTCACTTGATATCCAGACTGGGAAACATTCATGCACTACACCGGACGCCCTTGAGAGCCTCTTGCGTCAAAATTCATCGCAAGATTTTTGTGCTGAAATTTCTGCATGATTTGCACCGAAAATTGGGTGCCTATTTGTGCCAAAATTAGGCCACTTTTATATAAAGCACATGTGCACATCTACCGATCAAAGCTAATATCAACCAGACAGAGCATTCAGGGGCCTTGGACACTCTCCCACGTTTGAGCGTCCGAATAAGTTTTTTATTGGGGATGTGTTCGAACAAACCTCCGAACAAGTTGTTGTTTTGGGTTATGGCGCGTAGCAGCTTGGACCCCAGAGTTGGACCCCGCCCCAGGAGACTGCGGAGTGCGGATTATGTTAAAGCTAGGGGTTAATGTCAATTGTTTGTTGACCTCGCACCATCACCAATGAAATGCTAAGCAAAGCACCCTTCACTCAATAAACCCTGGAACACCCTGCCACCCAATTTAATATAATAACCATGGCCACATATCAATATACCATAATCAAACCATAACAGCACACACAATATATATAATTCAATACAATACAATATAGTTCAATATTTAACGTTTTTCCGTCACTGGCCGCCGCGCATTGGCATTGCGTCATGTTGGTCGTATGCTCAACTTTCTGCTATTATTGTCAAATGTCCCAGCCTGGTCCCAGCTTGCTTTGTATGTACCCTTAGCTCTATTGACGGGTGAGACTAAGGGTCTGTTCCCGTCGCTCCTCCCAAAAAATCTCGGATGAGGTTGGATGAGCTTGGAAGTTGGAGGAGAGCCGTTTCAGAGGAGCAGGGCTGCGGAGTCGATGGATTTTCGGCGACTCCGACTCCGACTCCGGCTTTCAAAAACCAGCTCCGACTCCGACTCCGACTCCGGGCAGAATTGTCGACTCCGACCGACTCCAACTCCCGACTCCGACTCCGCAGACCTAGCAGGGCTGCGGAGTCGACAGATTTTCGGTGACTCCGACTCCGACTCCGGCTCGGGTTTCTAAAATCGACTCCGACTCCGACTCCGACTCCGGTCACAACTGTCGACTCCGACCGACTCCGACTCCGACTCCGACTCCGCAGCCCTGCAGAGGAGCCACGGGAACATTTTAGCGAGGAAATCAGCTGTTTGCGGGCTGTAACGGTCGGCGATTTATGGCGCGCAAACATAAATCAAGAGATGATAATCGCTTTCTAATAAAATAACCTTAGATTAATATCAAACATTACTATTTAAAGATATCCAATCGTCATCAATCACTAAAATCATTTCCACTTCCCTCAAATCTCATTTATAAACAATTCACATTTGTATTACGTGCGCCAAATATGTCTATGCAAGAGCCTCCTCCAAAAAACCAACTTTCGTTTGGGATGAGGGAGGAGGCAAATAGTGGTGGTGAGATGTGAAATCAAGATGAGCTTGGAGGAGCTTGGAGGAGCGACGGGAACGATTTTTTGAAACGAGAGGAGGTTAGAGGAGCTTGGAGGAGGTTAGAGGAGCGACGGGAGCAAACCCAAAATGCTTACTTCGAAATCTAAGCTGCTTTGCGGCATTGGCGGTTATGTGCGGCGTGTATGCCGCATGATTAGTAAGCGGCGACCACTAAATTAAAAACTCAATAGCTTTGACCTGTTTTCAATGGATAACACTGCATACCAAAAATGTCCATCGCTCTCGTCATAGGATATTTAGATTTAAATAACTAACTTATCTACATCATCGTTTTGAACCAAATTAATACTTTCAACTTGACCCTCGCCCGTATTGGTGTTTTTCCAGCCGCGAACGGCGAACGTATAAGGTATAACCCCTTGCCGTTTCGCTCCTGCCTGATCAAGCGAGAGCTTCGCGGAAAAAAACGAGCGTGTTGCCCGTGACGAGAGGAAGCCGATGATACCCAATTTTAAGGTCCTAGGTCATCGGTTGACCTTCCAGGTCAGGCCAATGACCCAAAAGGCGGAAAATTGGGACCTGTTAGAACGTCGTAGTGTGGCTGCTATGAGGTTTTCCGGGGTGCTGATCACGAATATCATGCTAGTTTTGATGATGATGTCTTCATTCATTTAGGCCAGGTCGGGTCAGGTCAGGTCAGGTCAACCAGTAGAGGTCCTGCCGGGTATTTGTAGTAGGTGTCAACCGCCTCTGACAGCCTCGTAACATGTTACGAAGGCACCAAAACTACTTTGTAAACGTTCATGTGGTTGCTAAATTCGAATTCAGCTCGAAAAACTGGCCTAGAAACATGTCAAACTCGAAAAAGTGAACCGAGTTCACCACTGACCTGACCTTCAGGTGACTTTGACACCCACCCTAATGCATGGGGGCAACATCATATCACATGTTTGAACGCTTGAAACGGCCTTGCTTGAAACCACGAAAAGACTGCAAACGCGCTGCTAATGCGAGCCGACATACGCTGAATCGCGGTTCCGGCCAAACATGGTCTCGAAAAGTAGGTCACAGGTCAAAGGTTATTTGCGTCAGGGTCATGAAATTTTCAGGGTAGGTGTAAAATTGATCAACGCGAGGATACTAAACGTTACGTCGTGATCGGCCGCTTTTTACGCGAGTTATTCGCGAAAAACCGAGGGGAGTCCGTTCGACCCCCCCCCCCCCTAAAGGGCGAGGGTTAACTCACAGTCCGAGCTCCGAACAAGTTCGGTCTTGTTTGTGAATTTGTCGGAGCATCACCTATTGTTAACGCCAGACCCCTTGAGACCCTAATTTTTCGCGATTACTTTTAAATGCGTGAAGGAATTTCAACCAAGCTCAGGACATGGCCGTTTCAAGACAGGCCGAAACTTTTACAATTTAGGTATTTTATCGCCATTTCAATATTTCAGGCACTTGTCATTGACTCGTAATGTTAACTGTTTTTCCATCCTGGATAGAGGCTTTCTACGTCATATGACATTAGGCTCCGCCCACGACTGCGGCATTGACCCGTGCCCATCAGCGACCTCTGTACAAACGACACCCCTGCCATCTGTGAAGGACTATGAATTTCGCTGACGCTTCACGTGCTATGAGTCAATTGCAGCAGACGGTCAAGTAAATGTTAGGCTCTTGTTGACTCTTGTATATAGGACCAAGAGGACCATCACTCCTCAACCTACTACTCAGTCGTGCTTCGAACAAACGTTAACGATTCCTAACAAATACGATTTTCGATGTAGGGTATCTGTTTGAAATACGAGCGAGCCGTATGATGTGAAGCTCAGGCAATTAACTATTATTGCGTTGTTCGATGGTTGCACCCTAGTAGCACATCAATATTGTATCGATGTTGTATCAATGTTGACAACAATGTTGTATCGATGTAATTCTGTTAGCCACTTTCGACATTGATACAATGTTGAATTTCGACATCGTATCAATATTGACAGGACAACATTGTACAACATTGTTTCGATGTTGATACAACATTGTCTCGATGTTGATTTTTGGTTGATTCAACATTGTCTCGATGTTGATACAACATTGTCTCGATGCTGATTCTTGGTTGATTCAACATTGCCTCGATGTTGATACAACATTGTCTCGATGCTGATTCTTGGTTGATTCAACATTGTCTCGATGTTGATACAACATTGTCTCGATGTTGTTGTAGACAGACCTATACGTGTACGAAATCCCGTAGGATCCCGTAATTACCTAAAATATTCCAGCGTCACCGTCACAGTCAATGTTCGGGGAAAATGTATTTCTATGATATATGCACAGCTCTTCACTTTTTTCGAGTCACTTACACTTCACATATCACGTCACACAACCTCGGTCGCCGGCACAGCTCTTCACTTTTTCGAGTCAGTTACACTTCACATATCACGTCACACAGCATCGGCCGCCGCTCAGTCTCCGCCATCTTCACATCTTGAGCGGTTGAGTCGGTTGAGTCAGGGCCGTGGGGGTTGAGTCGCCTGTCGAGCCTCGCACTCCTGTAACAAAGCGGAGATTCCTATGTAAAAACGGTAATAAATTGGGCTTTTGAGTAAATTCAGTTCAGTCATTTTCAGCTCAGATAATAGATATTTATGTAAGTGCATTTAGCATCACGCATGTAGGTACCTATACGTCCTACTACCATGAATCTATTCTTTTATACTTACCGGGCCCTGTTTCAAGTCATGACGCTACATGACGCCACCGGCAGCACTTTTTCTCTTTGCCGCAGGCAAGTGAGTGACGACGGTGATCGCCACCATTTTGAAGAGAACGTTTCAGCGCCAGTTTTTTTTAACTTATCACTGCAATAACTAGGATAAATGCACTGATTGTCACACAGCAGAAACTGGCGGAAACCTACATGGTCGGATCGAAAGAGGAGACGCCAGACGACACTGGACACAACGCACTCAACACACCCGTCCGCACTCTGCGAGCCGGCACAACGGGACGGGGACGCGCGGTCCCCTGTCGCGGTCTCCCCCTCTCTAGCCGGAGGCGAGGATGGGACCGCCCGCTGCCGGCCGCGTACAGTCTTCAAAACGGTCAACGGTCGCTAAATTCCAGTCGGTACGGTCTCTGAAAGAGCACAGCGCACGACTGGTGGGAGGGGACCAAGGCACTAACTACCGTGATACTTGAATGGCACCGGTGCAGTGGCACCCGAATACAATAATGCCGATACAATAATGCTGCTTAATTCAACGTAGGTTGAGGATGTTATAAAAGGATTTTATGAAGTGGAGCTATCTTTATTTAAGGATCCATTCACTTTATAACTCTCTATATATCATATTCAAGACGTATATGCCTAATAAGACACCAATAGGTCTGTTTTTTTTTTCATATAGGTCTGTGAGAGCATCAACCGATTTTAAAAGAATGTAGCGATTGATCCGAATGTTTAAACGATGTAACGACTTGTGAATTTTGAACTACGATTTTTTGTATTAACTTTGTTTTGTCATGTATCATGAATGTAACATGTATGCCCACTGATGATGGTACTTAAACGTGCCGAAACCGGTCTGGAATATAATACCAATAGGTACTATTTCTATACGATACGACCATATTCGTCTATTTGGAACCTCAGTGATCTCACCCTTAAAGTCCGATAGACGCCTTAGGACCTGTCGAGCCAGCCCATGGGACCCCTTACACCCGAGGGGGCATTTGCCTCCTTTAATGCTGTCAAGTGTCAACACAGCTGCGGGGCAATATAGTAATTAAATCACAATGTTGGAACTCTACTTTTATCAATATTGTGAAATCAACATCGTGACAATGTTGTATCAATGTTGAATCACAACGTTGAAATTCTACCTCTGTCGATATTGTGAACTCAACATTGGGACAATGTTGTATCGATGTTGAACTAGGGGAGAGCGGGGCCAGTTGAAACACGGGGTCAGATGAAACATGGCTTTATTTTCAACAATATGCAACATATGGCGTTGCCGACACCACTGCGCATCCGCGCTCGACCACTTCCTTTGTCAACGGCGTTTGGGCGGCAAACGGACGGTAATTTTGATTTGACACTTGTTTTTGTGTTTTTGAGGGGCGTTTGGGAGAAATCGTTTTTATGAATATTTTGTGATATCTCATATACCTTTGTTTGCTGAAAGAAGAACTCCTGGCTTCGGAATAACACCTGATTTGGCCCTTCATTCAGCATGATGCCGTCCCTCCAGCTCGTTTGACTTGTGCTTTACGGCGCGTGCGAGATGGCGGGAGCGGATGGGGTCAATTGAAACGCTTCTCTGAGGGTCAGTTGAAACAGGGCCACAGGCCGTTTCAATGGACCCCGGTGACCTTTGCAATGGTTATTGTTCAGGGGCTGTAGACATTAAAGAAAATAGTCCACATTTGAAATGAGCTTTTATACTGAAATAGTAGTTTAATAGAGCTCAATTTTTGACCCACTTTTCTCCAGCCTTTTGCTTGAAAGCACACTATAGCCTGAGATATTTCTCATTTTTCTCATCCGCCCATTTTACCATAGTCTATATACTTTATGTCACCTATTATGAGGAACTTTGCACTTTTAGCTTTCCAACGACCTATTGAATGTAGCATTTGGAAAAGTAAACCGGACAAAATATCTCCTTAAGAAAGTGGCCTTAAAGAGGAAAACATCCCATTGTTAAGGATAGGTGCAATTGACCCCATCGGCTGGTTCAATTGACCCTCGCATCGGGGTCATTTGAAACGGGCGTAGAGCTGTTTTATAAGCATGCGTTTGGCAGCAAAATATGTTTGAAACATAATTTTACATATCTTAAAATAAAGCCAAAAGAGCATATTTTTTCATGGCATTGTGCATTTTTCGATATGACAACTAGATCTCGCTGTGCATGTCAATATATAAAAAGTGGTTCAACTGGCCCCGCTCTCCCCTACAATGTTGAACTTCAACCAAGATTCGACAAAGCACAACCAAATATCAACGTGATATCAACGTTGAATCAATGTTGAATTCGTGTTGAAGCACCAATATTGACAATCAACCTGATTTCAACATATCTCAATGTTGTATCAATGTTGTGTGCTACTAGGGCATAGCGATGTACAAATCGGTAGCTACTTGGTGACATCCGACATCTCATTATCGCATTATCTGCAACGCCATAGGCTTTAAATACAGGTGAATATTTCCTAACCTTATGTCAGTTATATGCCATCTGCCCGTCATATGCAGCTTATATAAATAAATAAAAAAATATCAGCGAACATATCAGCATTGTAGAAGCAATGCGCATTGAGCATTTATGACTCCTTAGTCATCATGTCGCTCTCTGGGCACTGTCAGCCAAGACGCTACGCACAACTCCGCCGGCTTTCGGCACCGCTCGACCGTCGCCCGTCCCCGCTCCCCGCCACAGCGAGAGTGACCGCGCGCCGGCCCGAAACCGCCGCAGGCCAAGACCACAGAGGCGGGGCTTAGCTGTGACGTCATAACGTATCACAGACTGACTGGTGATAGCCTCTACACACCGGATGAAAATCTTGCTCGAAATTTAACATTACGAGTCAATGACAAGTGCCTGAAATATTGAAATGGCGATAAAATATCTAAATTGTAAAAGTTTCGGCCTGTCTTGAAACGGCCATGTCCTGAGCTTGATTGAAATTCCTTCACGCATTTAAAAGTAATCGCGAAAAATTAGGGTCTCAAGGGGTCTGGCGTTAACAGTAAATCTAGTAGAGATGATGGTGGGAAACTAGGCTTTTAAGGAGGGAAGGGAGTCGGTGACGGTCAGGGGCACTACAAGTAGAGCAGTCATAAGCTGGTGACAGGGCTGACATACCATGTTTTGATAGCATGACTGAAACAGACTTTTTGGGTAGCCAGGAAATCGCATGCGAGAGCCTATTGAAATTCTTACATCGGCCTTTATATGCACCAGTCGTATACAGGTGCGGGATTTGGCATACGATTTCCAGACAATCGAAAGACTGTTTGGAGCCAACGAAGGAAGGAATGAGTGAGTACCTACTAAGTTGAAGGCATTAATTTGGTTCAAAATGATGATGCAGATAACTTAGTTATTTAAATCTAAATATCTTATGACGAGAGTGATTGGCATTTTTGGTATGCAGTGTTATTCATTGAAAACAGGTTGGAGCGTTTAAGTCTTTAATTTAGTGGTCGCCGCTTACTAATCATGCGGCATACACGCCGCACATAACCGCCAATGCCGCAACACAGCTTAGATTTCGAAGTAAGCATTTAGTCTCACCCCTATTGACCAATGAAAATCTAGAATATATCTGCTAGAAACAAAGGTACACTTACCATTGGTCGTAGTTTGAGAATCAATGACATCAAATAAAGCTGAAACGTTAAATATTGAACAATTGGTGCGCCACAATTCGCAGCATTATTGGCATTATGAAAAAAGAGTCATTTTTAGTGAGAAAGGGCGAGGCTTATATCTCAGCAACCACTTGACCGATTTGCACGCGGTAATTTTTGTAGGGTAGCTTCATTCCTTCTACCAAGTATTGGACTATTCCCGATGCATGTGGGTGACCCCTTATGCACGTGCCACGTGCAAAACGAAGAGGTGTCAGTTTTGTAATTGTTGCAATATCTCGGTAACTACTTGGCCGATTGCGCTGAAAGTTGGCATGTAGGTAGGCACCCACTAGGCACTGCATATACATGTGCCAGAGTTGGGGTGCTGCTGCACGTGCGCACGTGCAGGGGTCGTTTCCAGATCTCGGGAACGGCTGGACCGATTGCGCTCAAATTTGGTACACGGTTAGGGACCGGTTAGTAGGGTGCCGTGCACAAGTCAGTTGGGACCCATTTTGCACGTGCGCACGTGCAGGGTGCCGCTTCCAGATCTCGAGAACGGCCGGGCCAATTGTGCCCAAATTTGGCACATCGCTAGAGACCAGTTAGTAGGGTGCCGTGCACAAGTCAGTTGGAGGTACCCCCTCGCAATTTCGCACGTGCAAGGCCCACCCTCTCGCTCGCTCCGTTAGTCGCCCCAAAAGGCGTTATACTGGTCTGCATACCAGTATGTTTATGTCGTTTATGTCTGGGTGCTTTCCTCCTTTTGCACAATGCATCCTCTAACAACTGAAGAAATTCCTAAAACATTCACCTATGCCTGTCATATTTAGTGCACGCAAATTTGTTATTATCACTTACTCAAGCAGGTAGCATAGGTAGGTAGGCTATGCCAGATTTGTGATTTTTGCTATAATGCAACATATTTTATTGAATTACCTATGCTAGAACGAGAACCCGATCTTAGATTGCCTGCTTCCAGAGAGATGTTACACACTTATGAGCCCATCAAGGTTATGCTTTGTATTTTGGAATGCAGGAATTACCTACTCAGAAAGTTGCACAATACCTATTACTAGGTACCCTGCCTTCTGGGTTGGGATACTTGGTACCTACACTGCAGCTAACAGTGCACACCTTAAGCACTCTGTGCAGTGGGTCAGGGTGGCCGGTGGGATCAGGATTGGAGTCTGAAAATCAATATGTGCATGATATGCCTCCAGCTTACACATTCCACTTCCAGTCTCCACATGTTTTGCTATCTTTCTCGTACCACCACAGGGAGGGCAAGCTGTATTCTGTAACAGTACCTACATTCAGAAGACTCATTGCTGAGTACCTACTTCAGGAGATTATTTGAACCCATAGAAATGTTACCTCACCTTTTCTTGGAAGCTGTGGTCATGTCACTGCTGCTGTGCTGGTGTTTGAAGTGGGACATATTAAAATTTATCACATCACATACCCCTACTAACTAGTATGCACCCAAGTATATGTTTTGCCAATCCTTTGTAGTAAATAGGTATTGATATTTTCAACATACACTTTCCCTCAGGTTTTTCAATTTAAATATTTTTGCAGACTGTCTACTTACAGTACATTCAACTAGTGAGTACTGATAATCACAAGCAGTGAGCATCCAGCAAGCCACTCACAGCAGTGATCAGAACATCAGCAGCAGCCAGCACTGGTCGGAAGTCGCTCAGCAGTCAGCACAGCAATAGCCAGCTCCGCAGGACAGTCATGTCGGGCGCGGGACCGCCGATGGCAGGCGGGGAGGCGGCCGTGGCTAGCTCACTGCCGCTGCCCTCCGCCAAAACGTACGGCCTCTATACGGACGAGAATGTGCGCCGAGGCCTGGCGCCGCCGCCGCCGCCCGTGCCGCCCACCAGCGACACCTACTCCATGTTCGGCAACGCCTTCTGCATGGACGACCCCATCATCCAGCCCCTGGAGGCACAGGTGAGTGGCCGAACGGCACCTCAGCAGTGACAACGTACTTTGATGCCACTCGTGAACTTCATTATGCTTGATTATCGTTATTTAGATATCTCTCGATCTTCGTAATCCAGTTCGTCAACTTCTTGGCATCAGCGTAGCAAGTGATTTTCTAGGAATAATTTAAGCTCAGTTTACTGGGGATACATCCGTCTAGTTTCGTGGCGTAATGTTATGTGGGTTTGGCTAGTTTTGCGCATTGAAACTTCGTTGTATTTCAGGGCATCAAGCGATTGTATCCGATCAACTTTGACCACCGAAAGGAGTTGAAGAAGCTGAACCACTCGGTTCTCGCCAACTTCCTGGACCTGCTGGAGATCCTGATCCGGTGCCCCGACTCCAGCAAACGTATCGAGAAGATTGACGACATCAAGCTACTGTTCATCCACATGCACCACTTGATCAACGAGTTCCGACCACATCAGGCGCGGGAGGCACTGCGAGTCACCATGGAGCTGCAAAAACGGAATAGGCTGGAGATCGCTGACCGCTTCGAGGTGAGATGATCGACGTATTAGTAGCGGTGTACTTCTAAATGAATAAGTAGAATAGGTAGTAAAATAAGTTTTATACCAGCCGTGAAATTAGTCAAATTGTTGCTTTTGCTAAGAACTGCTTTGAAATTACGGGCTGGGCAACTTCTTGAGCTTGGTTGAGCCAGTGCCAAGACCATACTATTACTTAGGTAAGCGACTGAGGCAACGGAGGCAGCTGCGGGACTTTGTACGACAGATATAATTTTTTCAATTGTTAGTTCAGTGTTCTGGGTTTCCTTTTCTACCTAGCCTTTCAAGCATCGGTGTTGCTTTGCTGTACCGACTACCGAGACCTCGCGGTGATGGCTGGCAGTCGTTTCATCACGGTCTATTTATACTCCGTTTATAACACCAGCCCTGTTCATGACCTGTCTTCCCTTCTATTCCATTCTCTTCCAGCTGCACCTGGAGAAGGTGATGGAGACGGTGAACGGCGCGCTGTCGGCTCTATCCTCCCGGGAGGAGTTCGACTCGAAACTCCTAGTACCGACCGAGGTAACCCCGCGGCCGGCCGACGATCCCGAACAGCCCCCGACCGACCGGCTCACCGAGCTGGACGCCCTCATGTGTCATGTGATGGATACGAGCTGAGGGCCGTGGAGGGGTGAGGGTGGAGGTGAGGGGCCGCCCGCGGACACTCAGTGCTGTGCGTACGGGGTGGACACAGACTGTCAGGAAATGGATGATTGTCGGGACGATGTCACGGCGGATTGTATCGTCATGGGAAGGATGGCATGAATCGGGGACGGTCTGACGCCTTCAACACGCGATGGACCTGTGAGTGAAGTGAGAAAAGTAAGCATGATTATGCCTATGGGCTCTCCGCGTTCCGAGGTACAGGCGAGTGTTTACGGAGGTCATTATTGTTTATGGCCGGTAGCACTGCACGACAGCTGTGCGATTCACCTACCGCTTCTATTGTAAAATGTGCGATGGATGTTGAGCGATTGCCAGCACCGCAAAGAGCTGCGGAGGCAATGTAGGCGCTGTGCAGACGGTGGACGCATGAGTGAACAGCAGAGATTTAGTGCTTCTCATCAGAATATCTGCTGCACGGTCGGAGATACTTGTGTGCGAGTGGCGTATCTGTTTGTGTACGCTTGTTTTGTTTCATTGAATCTTGAGTTAGAAATGTGTAGATCAGTGAAGATGTAGAATATAGCGGTACAATCCGTGAGAACATTTCATAGCTGTTCCCGTGCTCCGCCCGCGTTGCGTCTTGCGATAGTACAATTGCGCGAAACGCAAAATGCAATGACATCTGCAAATAAAACTCAGTAAATGCTGTACACTTATGATCAAACCATGGGAATGCACGTAATACAGAATCGCCATTAACGTCCGAGACCGTGAAGGAATACTACTGGATGCCATGTCTCGCAAAGAGCTACATACATAGTGTCGGGATTTGGCGTTGTGTCGAATGTCGATGAAATTACAGTTAAGCCCATTGCCCAATCTGGCAGCGACACTGTGGACTAACCGAAGTTATCGTTATCGCTTCATCGATGATCGTTTCCGTATTTATGCGCTGAAGGACATTCAAGTTGGTCGGTGACCAAACTTTTCGAACTCGTTCTGACAGAAGTAGAATCAAAAGCACTCTTCTGACAGAAGTAGAATCAAAAGCACTCTTCAGTCCTGTTATGTTTTGTTGGTTTTGTTGCACAATGGCATAGCACAGTCACAGTCCACGACACAAGCCGTCCTCATTGAGGAAAACACACATCGCAGTCAACAAATGGCATGAAGTGAGCTGGGTGAGAGATGACGTTCGTCTAACACCTAGATTGTTTCACTTGTTTACAGAGTCTGAAATACACAACAGGCATACGCACATGCGCAGACAAGCGCAAAAACGGTGACACCCTCCCTTTCACACTAAAAACACCGCATTTCACTCAGTTCACTAATTCGAACATCACCCATTCAGTGCACGACATTCGTATCGACCGGTCTCGAATTTCCAGCTAAAGAATTCCCGTGTTCATCATCCTTCACGGTGCCAACGCAGGTGTCTCCGCCGCGAGCCAGCTCCTATTTTCAAACCGTCCTCGCGTTACTGACACCTGCACGGACACTTATGATGCCAAGGAGGTTTAATGTGTCACGAATCACTGACTCGACAGCATCGTGGCAATATTCACTCGAGCTTTGTACCGTGATCGTAGTCACGGTGCAATCGATGCGGAGTTCATGGCCATGCCTCCAATTCAGCCCCGTTTGGCGGCCGCCAGACGACAGGACTCCTTGGCCGCGCGGGCCGTCGTCTGCGGCCTGAGATCAGCCGCTCCGCCCTGAACGCACCACTGACACCGCCATCGACCGGACGCTGTCCTCAGCTACCCTCTCCTCCGGCGCGCGACCCTCAGGGCTTCCTCTTCTTCTTGAGGGTGGGCTTCTCGAAGACCTGTTTGACGCCGCCGGCCTGGACGTTGAAGAACTTTGCGTTCTGCGCCGTCTCCATGGCCCAGGCCGAGTCGAACGATGTCGTGTCCTGCTCCACCAGATGTGTGTACTTGGTCCGGCCGCTGCGGCCGAAATTCTTGACCTGCGGGGTAGAGTGTGGTGTCAATGACAGTTTTAACGTAACTGCCACACAAACGGGTTCTCCGTTTAACTTACGCTTCAAACAATTACGCTTATGCATGATACAATGTGAACATCTGAGCATCAGCATGTCTTTAGTAGGACGGTACGGCAGATACATGCAATCTTTCTATGCTACGAAAAAAAAATATTTGAATTGCTTGCCTCAAACATTGACAGCTCCTACCGCCCCCGACCTGCACCAGCTCTTTCCTCTCACCTGCATGACTTTGGGGAGCACCGTCTTGTCGAAGCGGTCTTCCAGCGTCGATCCGGAGAAGTCCCGACGGTACACGCCCTCCTCCTTGTCCATGAAGAAGGCGCCGCGGTGATAGTACTTTTGGAGGAACTTGTACTTGCCCTTGGCCGCCTTGTTGGTGATTTGTTTGGGGTTGTTGCGCAGCTCGGCTCGCCGCTCCTCCTCGGTCATATTCCGCAGCCGCTCCAGTTCCAGACGATCCTTCTCCAGTCTGCCGGGAAGGTAAAATACGTCCGTTCAGAACATACAGGCTTCCGTTCTTGGTCTACTCTATGACCTAGTTCAAGCAACGGAAAGGTAAGAAATGAATGTAGTGACAAATGCTCATATCATTGGCAAAAAGTACCGCAAGAAAATGCAAGTTAACTCGTTGAGTAACGCGATTAATGTAACTGTATAGTGTAAGCACTACTTAAAAGCGCAAACAGCACCCAGAGAGTGTTCACCACCCACCGTGAACCCCACCACCCGGCTCCCTCCCGTTTGATATAATACTGACGCCTCTCGCTCCTCCTTGTCTCGTTTGATGCGCTTCAGCTCTCGGAGCTTCCACAGCTCGTAGTCGGCCTCGTCGTTGCCGTCGTCGGTGTCGATGGCGTTCGACGGGTCCTCCTCCGTGGCAACCTGTTGCGACTTGCGGATGTCTGACTCCACCATCTGGGGAGCAGATAGCGGATGTTACCGCGACAGTCGATGGGAATTGCCCGAAACCCGTGATCGCCTCGGAAAAGTAACCCAAATAGATGCTAACTGCCATTACAGTATCGTCTTTCGAGAGTCATACCAAGTACGTAACAAAACACATGTAAAGCAATAGGACGCATGGAAGTAAATACCTGACTTGTTTATAAATCAGTTCAATGTGTGCCATCACGTTACACGCCGAAATGCAACACTGAACACAAGTTACGACTTCGGATCGTGGAACTTCAATGCTGGACCACTGTTAATTCAAACCACGGTCGTTATCGACAAAGAAGTATTGCCAGAGTCGGAGCCACCTAATTAATCGTCTCTGTGAAAGTCTGACCTTCAGCGTGTCTCGGCGCCGCTCCTCCGCCATTTTCCGGGCCTCAATCTCTGCCTGTTTCTGCTTCAGCGCCTGTTTCTCCTTCTCCTGTACTGTGATCCGGTCCTGAGAGCGCAGGGTAAAACGTCAGATGCGCTGCCACAAGATAGAAACCTTTTTATATGACTCAGCATCCCACGCAATGGGGGACATCGATAACTTACCACCAGGTGCAACGGTAAACAAGCAAGTATTTAATACAATAGTCAAAATCCCGATAGATTTACTCAAAAACTACTGAATGTATATGTAACTGCAGAGCAGCGATAGCTTGGGATCAACATATTCCGCAGTTTTATCAAACCCGGGTCATGACTGATCGTCGATCTCACGCACCTGTTTCCGAACGAAGACGGGTTTGAGCCGCGGTCCCGTCTCCTCCTCTGAGTCCGTGTATTCCTCGTACTCGGAGCTGTCCTCTTCCTCCTCCTGTTCGTCCTCGGATTTCTTCTCCTCCTCCACTTCCATCAGCTCCTGCCGCAGGTAGCGAGCAACGTGGTTACGGTACGAGTAGACAGTGTAGCGGCCGGTTGCGATGAGTTTGGTGGTGCAACAATCACAGTTGACTTATCGACACTTTTTTTAAACCCCACATTTGTTCTCCCGTGGAGTTCAGACAAGCTGTTTAGAAACCTTCAAAAAAGGTACAGTCACTCAATTTTTCTCAAGTTTGTCTGTCTTGGCAGATCAAGCAATGCCAGAGCAAGCTTACGAACACACAAATTTGATCAGGATCGGACGATTGGACACTTCTTAAAAGAGATCTTTCGTGCTTCCCTGAAATTCACCGGAGAACAGATGTGGGGTTTAAAAAAAGGTGTCGTTATTATCTAGCTAGAGTGAGAGTGATAACCAAGCAGAACACAAATTGCCCACTTATAATCTAGGAACGGGAAAACTTAGTAACAAATACAATAAACGAGCTAAATCATATTTCATTTACCTATCTCATGACGACAAATAATTAGCGGCTTTATACAAAGAAATGTTACATTTTGCATTGACAAAGAAAAAATAGGTAGGTGTTTAGCATGGAGGCAGATTTAAATTTGATTCCTTGAAAAGTACGACGCAACAAACGTAAACAATATGACGTAAATAAATATACAAACCTCTTCCTTCTTGGCTTTGGCCAGGGCCTTTTGCCGGAGCATCTCTCGCTTTCTGACGATCTCGTCGTCGTCGAGGTCCTCTTCCTCATCTGAGTCGGACTCCTCGTCCGAGGACACGCGCCGTCGCTGCTGCTCCTCCTCCATGTCCTCGTCCTCATCGCTCTCCTCCACCAGCTCCGGCGCGTGCACGCTGACAGAAACATAAACGAATGGTAGCTGGGTGCAAAACGCGGCATGGACGCAATAGGTGGGAGAATGCCGCCAGAGCGACATATTGATCGTGAATGCGATCATATCGCTTGGATTCGAGTCATTTCCATTGGTGGCACTACAATATGGAAACAAGTTAATAGAGAGAAACTACTTATGGTACGTCATTCGACGATGGTAGAGTTGAGGAACGCGTTTTACGCGAGGCCACGTCATCGCGCCATTTACCGACGGAAATATTAGTCCTTTATGCACAAAAAAAAAACACATCGACACACTGCCCAGCCTCAGTTCAGGGGTGATGGCCTCAGTTCAGGCCAAAACGACTCTGGTGTACTACATCCACTCAGCTTTGACTCCCCATCCCGACCGCCCGTTGGGCCCTGACGCGGTACGTACCGTCTGCGCGGCGCCGAGTCACTGGCGTCCGACTCTGCCGCGGCATCATCCCCCTCCTCTCGCTCCTTATCCTCCTCCTCCTCCTCTTGCTGCTGTCGCTGCTGCTGGAGCCGCTGCAGTCGGCGCAGACGCGGGTCCTCTCGCTCCTGTTCGGTGAGCTCCACCTCGTCCGTGGCCGGCGCCTGCTGCTGGGCCACGAACTCGTCCTCAGAGGCATACTCCTCGTCCGAGGAGGGAGCATAGTCGGGACGCTTTCCGGTGACATAGCGCTGCACCTTCACCTTCTGCATGTACACCTGACCTGTGAGAGAGAAGGGCCACAGAGCATGCAAGAGTTAGGTGGATATGGACATGGTGGAATATACAACTTTTACAATAGATAAAAGTGCTGCTTGAGCCCATGAAAGAAGAGTTTGTTGAACACATGTCTGAGTATTGCCTGTTGAGAATCAAACACTTTGTGAAATAATTTGAAAACAGAAGAACACAAATGCCACCAATGTCATCTTGTTCATTCAATAACTTAGCAGGAGACATGTTAGTATCTGGATTATGAAATGAGGACAGGTAGATTCTTTAAGGCAAATAAGGCTTTTATGAGCAATGGGAGCACCTTACCAAACACAACAACATCTTTATAAAGAAAACAGGCATCCATATCAAAGGCAATAAGCAGGATCACTTTAATATCAGAGTATAGTAAGGGTAGAAGCCTGCTAGATAAGTTCCCCTGCCCCCTCCCATCAAATTTTTCAATACATCCATTCAAAACAATTTGGCCTTATTTATAAAAAATACAAGTTATCCATAAGTAATGCTATTAGTAAAATATTTCATTTGGCTCTGTCTCAAAACAAAAATTCATGACACAAATAACATGATGCATGTGTTTTAATGTTTTCATCACAGCACAATCATTACCTATCTAATTGCCATTATCTAATTCATGAACCCTCCTAGTTTATTTGACAGATGCTCGTAACCATCTGTTACCACTTTTCCTTCCAGTATAAATGCTAAGTAACACTTGGGCCATCAAGAAATGAGGATTATAACTCACAAATTAGCTCACGAATAACTCCTTACCTTACCTTACCTTGAAGGTCATCGGGATAGAAAAGGCCACTTGGCCTATAGGTCCCGTTCTCACCGAGTTACTTGCAGAGACATTCAGGACTCGTAAGGTTGTGGCATGACATACATTAGGTGGGTCCAGTGATGGTCGAGTCGTGCCTTGAATGTCGAGAGTGTTTCGGCTGATACGACCTCAGCAGGTAGAGCGTTCCAGTCGTTGATGATGCGGACGCTAAAGCTGCTTCGTCGGGCGAGAGTCACAGCTCGGGGTTTGAGCAGCTTCCACCCGTGTCCTCTCGTCAGCTCGGTCTCGTTCTTGGTGAAGAAGGTCGTTGCCGGCACATCGATGCCACCGTGGAACAGCTGGTAGACCGTCAGCATGTCTCCCCTGCGGCGGCGGTAGAACAACGACGGCAGTCGGAGACGCTCCAGACGCTCGGGGTAGGGAAGGTGCTTGATGGATTCCACCATACGCGTGGCGCGTCTCTGGACCTTTTCTAAGCGTTTCTGGTCTCCTTTGCTGAACGGTCCCCAGACGGCGTTCCCAAACTCCAGAAAGGGGCGGACGAGAGCCTTGTAGAGCAAGGGTAGGGTCGTCTCATCGATGTGAGCGAAGGATCGCTTGATGACCGCGAGCAGCTGTGAGGCTTTTGAAACGGCCGCGGCCGTTTGCGTATGAAACTTCAGCTCAGAGTCGATTATGATCCCCAGATCCCTTTCTTCGTCTACCACAGCGATGGGCGTCCCGTTCAGCCTATATTCGTGTGCAGGGTTTCTTGAGCCCATGTGCATCACCTTACACTTTCCTGCGTTGAACGGCAGCAGCCACCTTGAGGACCATCGTGCCAGAGCGTCCAGATCACCCTGCAGGCCAGCACCACGATCGGATGGATTTGTCAGTGGCTTGTATAGCTTCGTGTCATCCGCGAACATCTTCATATTGCTTGAGACCTCTAGTGGCATGTCGTTGACGTATATTGTGAACAGCGTCGGCCCCAATACTGAACCTTGGGGGATACCGCTGGAGACAGGTGCCCACTCCGAGTTGCAGCCCTGAATCAGCACCCGTTGACGACGGCCAACTAGGAAGGTCTGTATCCAGGTGAGAAGTTTACCTCCGACACCATACGACCTCAGCTTCTCGAGAAGACGTTTGTGCGGCACCGAGTCAAATGCTTTGGCGAAATCTAGGTAGACCACATCCACCGGGGTTCGGTCTTCCAAGGCAGCGGTCCAGTCTTCCAGTACCTCAAGCAATTGGGAGCTACACGAACGCTTTGCCAGGAAACCATGCTGAGCTCTGTGAAGCAGGCCGTTTGCTGACATATGGTGCAGGAGCTCATCCCTTATGACAGATTCGAGGACCTTACAACAGACGGATGTCAGGCTCACCGGTCTGTAGCTGGATGGTAGGCGGCGATCTCCTTTCTTGAATATCGGAGTCACGTTGCCGATCTTCCACTCTGGGGGGACATCCCCGGAGTCCAGCGATTTCCTGAAGATCCAGCTCAGTGGGTGGGAGAGGACGGCTGCATTCTCCTTTAGTACGCGAGGGTGAAGGCCATCGGGTCCTGGCGAGCTGTGTGCCCGCAGCGCTGCCAGCTTAGTGTGTACCCGTAGCGGGGAGATTTCGACGTCCTCCAGAAGCGGTCCGTGATGGGGGCGCTCCAGGACAGGGATGGTGTCTGACGCTTCTTCGACGAAGACGCTACTGAAGTATCTGTTCATGGCGTTAGCTTTTGCCTTATCAGAAGACACCGTTTCTCCATTCTCGTCTTCTAGGTCGCCGATGCCATTTTTGGTCTTGAGGCGTGAATTTGCATACCGCCAGAAGCACTTCGGGTTATCTTTGATTGACAGTACCAGCTTTTGCTCATGTTGTCTCCGGAAAAAGGGACTGGGACCGCCTTGAAGCGACCACGAGCTTTTATTCTGCAAATTCAAGTCGGATAAGCACGTGACTGGACTGCAACTTGGACTGCACGGCCTGGCAACCTGCATGCGCCTGCTTCATCTGCACTGCACATCAACTCACCGGTGGGGCATACCGAGACCGAGCAGCCTCCTTGTCCCTACCTTCTGCATGCCTCTGCTTCTCTTCCGCATTGCCTGCCATTGCCCGGGTCCTTTTATACGCACCGTGTCTGAGTCATGGCTCGGGGTCGTGTTCGTGGTGGTCGTGGTGGGCGAGGCAGGGGTGGAGCAACTGCAGGTGACGGCCAAAGCATTGCTGGCCCGTCTCAGGGGACTGATGGCACTCAACCCGTGAATGCTGAGGTGGCCCGGAGCGAGGGACCTGGTGCTGCCGAACCTCTTCAAAATGCATGTACACCAGCGGGGGAGGCTTCCAAGGATGCCAGTTCGAGTGTCTGTGGCATGTGTGATAGGGTGGTTGGTGATTCTGCTATAGGATGTGACAGATGCAGTGACTGGTTCTGTCCGTCTGAAATGTGCACAGGTCTGCCTGAAAATGCCATCGCTTTGATCTCCTCCCTGCGGGAGGAGAACTCTGTGTTGTTTGTCTGCACTGGGTGTCGTGTGAACCCTGGACCAGGCACATGGACTGAGGCAGCTGCTCGCAAAAAAAGGGGAGGTGAAAATGAAAGTATTAAACAGCTTTACATGACTGTCAAAGGCCTTACTGCTGAGATGGCCAAACTCACGGCAAAGCTGGAGGGTGCTATCTCTCAGGGTTCACTCAGCTATGCTGGGGTTGTCTCACAGCCCGGGTCTCGGCCTCAGCAGGGTGAGCAGCAGCATGGGGGCTCAGACGGGGAGGGCTCAAGTGCACAGAGGCGCACACAGGACACGGACATTCATCCAGAGTATAGAACTGTGGTAAGACAAGAAATCAGGGAGTTGCGGGAAAGAGAAAAACGTCGACTTTCACTGGTCATCAGGAGCCTAGAGTCCAACTCCCCAGCTGGGGTGATAGCTGAGTTTGGAGATGTGACATCTACCATGATGGGCACCAGAGTAACTCTATCTGAAGTGGTCAAGATCCCAAATAATGCAGGGCTATGGCGGGCAAAGGTCCTAAATGTAGAGCATAGGGAGCTAGTTCTGGAGAAATCCAAGAATCTCAAGGGGTCTCAATATGACCACATCTTCATCAGAAAGGATCTGACATTCACACAGAGAATGGAGCTAAAACAAAGGCGGGAGGGCCAGGGTCGGAGAGATGCCACAAGGGTGTTCAGGCCTTCTCACAACACCACAGTGCCTTCAGCACCTTCAGCCCCCCCACCTGCTCCGAACCAATCACTTGGAGCTAGTACTGATGTGGCTGCTGACACAGTGGCTGAGGTTTCAACTCCTGCTGCTCCCTCTCAGGCCCTTGATGCCCCAACTGCAGTGCTTAGTGGTGGTGAGGGTGACTCACACCACAGAGCACCAGCCCCTGCCACTCCCACATCCCCATCAGGGAATGCTCAGGTAAACTGAGTGGCCTGACACCTGTGTCACGACACTTTGTTTTGAAATGCTGCACAGTAAATGTTAAAGGTTTGAGCACTAAAATGGACTCTGTAATGAACTTTATTGAGAAAAACAATATTATGGTATTGTGTATTACAGAGTCCCATTTAACATCAGCTGTAGCCAGTTCTTTTGTTAAGGTTCCTCATTTCAATTTGATAAGAAGTGATGTCAAAGGCCATGTACACAAACATGGAGTTTGTGCTTTTGTACATGAAGATATACTAATTGATAAGGTCAGTTATCCAATGTCAAATGCTTTATTATTCCGTCTGGCCAAGTATGATATTTATTTTCTCGTGGTCTATCGGCCACCTTCGTACTCAGCTGCAGAAAATGATGAACTTGCATGCGTGCTGCAGGAAGTCATTTCTGGAAAGGAAATGATTATACTAGGGGATTTTAACCTTCCTAACATAGAATGGACATCACAGATAATCTCATCGAATCATATGCCTCCTTTGGATTCCATGTTCTTGGATGTTTTTACATCCTGCGGCTTGGTGCAGTGGGTGTCAGTGCCGACATTCCCCAGTTCAGGAAATACTTTGGACCTTCTATTGACAACGGAGAAGGACAGGGTGGGGAGGGTTGACGCTGTTGAACCGCTGCCAGCTTGCGACCACTGCCCAGTGCTCTTTGATTATGTGTTTGAAGGGGATCATGCTGATAGAGCTGCTGTTGGCCAGGAAAATTTTGCTTGGCACAGAGGTAACTATCTCAGACTGAATGCCATGTTTTCTGAGGTTGACTGGAGGTTTGAACTTACTCATCTAAATGCTTGTAGTTCTTTTGATAAGTTTGCAAGTATCGTCCAAACCAGTATCAAAGAATGCATTCCTCGTAAGAAAGTACAAGCAAAAGACAAGCCACCATGGCGAACAATTCCGCCTCCCAGCCTGATCAGAGTTAAACAAAAGGCGTGGGCAAAATATAAAAGGGCGAGACTGTGCAGTGGGCGCAAGTCTTCAGCAGCAATGGAGGCCTTTTCATCATTTGCTACTATTAATAAGGATTTGAGGTGTTTTGAAGTCAAGTCACGTGCGCAGTATGAGAATGGCCTCATTGACAGGTTCAAGGAAAACCCTAAGCTCCTCCATTCATACATTAGCAGTAAAAAATCTAATCCTTCATCGGTGGGCCCTCTTAGGCTCCCAAGTGGAGAGCTCTGCTCTGACCCATTAGCCATGGCCGAATGTTTAGCCTCGTCCTTTTCATCCGTGTTTTGCAAAGTTGTCCCAACACGTCAAGAGCCACATCAGGTACATGATGAACACATTGACCCTGTAAATGTGTCTGTTGAAGGTGTTGAAGCAAGGCTGTTATCACTTGATTCTAGTACTGCCATGGGGCCTGATGGTATTCACCCTCTGGTGTTGAAAAATTGTGCTAAACAGCTAGCCCGCCCTCTGAGCGTAATCTTCAAGCGCTCCTTGGGCGAGGGTTTGGTTCCCAAGGCATGGAAAAGGTCACTGGTAATACCCATTTTCAAGAAAGGTCACAGATTTGTCCCCCTTAACTATAGACCTGTGAGTCTTACTCCTATATGCTGTAAAACTCTCGAGCACTTGATTGCTGATCATCTGATGGACTACCTGAGTGAACACAACATATTGTCCCACCACCAGTTTGGTTTTAGACGGGGAAGATCAACGGTTGAGCAATTGCTTCTGGTATATGAGGAAGTCTACAGATTGGTTGACTCAGGGAAGACAGTGGACCTCATCTTGTTTGACTACAGTAAGGCCTTTGACAAAGTCTGTCATAAAATCCTGCTTGACAAGCTGAAATCTATTGGTATTGATGGGAAACTCTTAAAGTGGATCGCCAGTTTCTTGGAAGGACGGGAAATGCAGGTTGCTGTAAAAGGTCAGCTCAGTAGCTACAGACCAGTTGAAAGCGGGGTCCCTCAAGGTTCTGTGCTTGGTCCATTGTTATTTCTTATATATATAAACCATATCGGCTCGAATTTAACTTCTAGTTATAAGATCTTCGCTGATGACTTGAAGCTATATGCATGTGTTAATCCACCTATGTCAGATGCTTGCCCTGGTGCTGCTCAATCCATTCAAACAGATATTTGCACACTGCACCGTACATCCGAGTCTTGGGGGTTGACTTTAAACAGAGACAAATGTGCTGTGTTGCGCTTCACTCGTAATTCTAGAGAGCAGGCTCCTCCAGAGTACTTTTTGGATGGCAGCCCTTTACCGACCCGCAAGGCTCATGGCGACCTAGGCTTGCTGGTAGACGACAGGCTCAAATTTCATGAACATGTATCTTCTGTTTCGCACAAAGCATTTGGACTTTGTCAGAGCTTCTTAAAGTCAACTGTGTGCCGAACACCTGAATTTATGATGTTTTTGCTTACAACACATGTCAGACCGTTGATAGAATATGCGTCATGTTTATGGAACACCGGGTACAAAGAGGATCTCAGGAAACTTGAACGGGTACAGCGCATGTGGACTAGGAATATCAGAGGTCTCGAGGGATTGTCCTATGGAGAGAGGCTGAGTGAACTGAACTTGTACTCAGTGCAAGGTAGGCTCTTGAGAGCTGATCTAATCCAATATTGGAAAATATTCCATGATCTTAGCTGTATTAAGCCTGAGGATATGTTCACTCGGCCTCCTCATAGTGGCACTAGAGGGCATCGCTTCAAAATCCATGTAACACGAGCGGTCTCAGATGTGCGCAAGCGATGTTTTTCACACAGAAGCGTAGCCCTCTGGAACGGACTGCCTGATAATGTAGTAGCCGCAGGAAGCCTGAGCACCTTCAAAACTGCATTGTCTCGAGCGATACATGATGACCTGTACAAGTTTGCTGAGTGAGTTCCAACTCACTCAACTCACTTCAACGACTTGTTAAAAGCATTTATTATCAGGAAATCAGTGATTGTTCTACACAGACATGTTACCAGTGGACACATCAAATCCAGTTAAACCACAGCGACAGACGACGGGCAATGTTTGTTGGTGAACTGGCGTGTCCTTTGATCATGGGTTCCCATCATGTCTACTACCATATCCTTATGGCTGCTAGGCAAGGAGAACCCTACCAGGTGAGAGAACCAGGTGAGAGGAGGGCTCTGGTCACGTTCCTCAGGTCGTTTCGACACCTGACGTACCTGGCATGATCAAGTTCATCGTGGCTTCGGCAGTAAGTGCTCCACAATAGCCTTTTCCTTTTCCTTAGTTGGAGGGCTTGGCGGTTCATATATATGTTATGGTCAGAGGCCTTCTTTCTGATGCTGGAGCATGACTCAATGGTTGCACAGATTGACGAGCTAAAGAAGGTGTGAGCTTCTTGAGTACTCATGTTCCTCATCACCGCCCAGTTGCACGATTCAAGCACATTAGTCAATGAACGATAGTTGGTGCGAGAATACATGCGTGGCAGCGAGGATGGCGCAGGTGCGTAGCACATCAATGTGAAGGTAAGGATCACATGATCACTTCTACCCAGGGCAGGGCCATACTCAAGGTTGCGAACCATACCCTCCTCATTGGTAAATACTAAGTCCAGAGTACTTGGCCTCTCTCCAAGCCTGTAACGTGTGGGCTGGGTAACATGTTGGAACAGGTAACAATCCTGGATCGTCTCCACAAAGGAGTGTGTGGCTGAAGGAGATGCACCAGTTGCCCAGTCAATGCCAGGAAGATTGAAGTCGCCAATGATGACAAGGTGTGAGAAGGGGGCTGCAGCTGCTTGGCAAATCAGCTGCTCCAGCCTTTTAATACTTTCTTCTTGGGAGCCAGATGGGCTTCGGTAGATGCACCCTATCAACAAGTGATCTGTTCCTTGTAGCTTCAGTCCAACCCAAACATCTTCAATCATGTTTTTCTCACTCACGAGTGATGTGTTCACAAATACTCACCTTTTTCATTTTTCAGAGGAATTGCTCCAGCAGTGGAATTGATTTGGATTCCAATCTTAGTAGGGTTATCCATTTCTCAAAGTTTTGATGTCAGTCGAAAACTCAGATCAAGATAATGCTTGGGAGTTATTCTGTCCGCTTTCGGACCCAAATATTACAAAATATGCCCCAATACAACGAATCAAGCAAAATTCGATGTCATAAATCGGCGAGCACGATGGACTTCACGCGACGAGAACGTTCGTCATCAAAGACTTCTTTTCAAACTCTTCAAAAATTTAATGATGTTTCCAAAATTTCTTTAAATTTTTGAAAGACTTCCCCAGAAAACTAGAGACATTCTCAAAAGAAAGAGAAGTTCTCTGAAATTTTTTAATTTGCTTACGAACAATGCGCATTTGTTTCATTTCTGACGAACTGCATATTTTTGGTAGATGTTTTGCATTTTATTTTATTTTATTTTTGTTGGGCTAGGTATCTGTGTAAGAATCTTGGGGCTAGGTACGTACGTTATCGTTCTTGAGGTTAGGTATGGGAGTGTACCAAGGCTTTACCATCATTAGCAGCCCTTAGAAGATTTGCAGGTCATTTCACATTTTGATTTTGATTTGGGTGTTGATACCTATTGATATGATCGGTTATGATAAGATAAATAGTAAATCTCACCCCATGAAAAAACATCAAAGAAAAGGGCAGAAGGAATTAAGGTGGTAAACAAGTCGCGGGAACTGGGAAGGATGTGTACGTACCAGGGACTGTGTTTGGTGCTTCATCCCCTGTTTTGCCAACACACTGACACAGGCAACACCTAGTCACTGTGGCAACACCTTCCAATAAAATCCATGCAGGTTTTCCTAGCTGGCCGCATTTCAGTTTTTGTCTTGTGTCAAAATATCAATATTAGAAAATAGAATCAGCCATAATGATAAGCATCAATTTATGGAGTCAGTGCACACACAGATTCAGATGCACCATCACCATTGTGTGCTGTAGTTGAAACCTGAGGCTAGAGATGCATGCAGATGCAGCTGGTGACTGGACCACATCTTGATCTTTATTCTAGAGCATCTAATACAAGACATTGGCCAGGATTGAGGTGTCCCTGTCTGAGATTCAATCTAGAGCATTCACAGGCTGCCACTTCAGATCCCTTGCATGGGGCTGTTTCCTAAAGCAGAAATACAACATAAATTCAGTAGTAACAGTCAACAGTGAGTTTGATTTGAAAGGCCTACTTAGAAAGCACTGCCAATTGATAATGTTCTTTGACACATAAACATACACAACATAATTGACAATATCATGCTAAGTCCCAGTAAAAAGTTTCCCATGCAGTCTGTATTGTTTTCAGTTGATTTTTCTCATGTTTGACACAGTTTTTCTATTGCAGCCTTGCAATCATGGGTTTGCTTTGCTGTATTAAAAGGGAGCTGAGAAACAGCATCTGGCTGGCCTGTATTATCCTGCTTCCCACCATCTTTGTGGTGTGGCTGCTCAGAAAGGTAGGCAGTCTTTTTTACAAACAGCAGACAAGGGAAGCTCAGTCTATCTATCGATCTAGTTTCTTAAAATATTAACTTTTTATATCAACCTTCATTTTTGCTCTCATCTCAGCAATTCAACTGTGCTTTAAATTTGCAGATGCATGGCTTGCTGATTGCAATATAAATGATGCAGTTATATTTTGTTATTCATCAGCTCAAAGTAAGCATCCATTGAGGTGTTCGTTTCGTGGACAGGTCCTGCGTGCACGTCGTCCGCCGCTCGAGGCGGGGGCCAAACACGTTGCTTTCTTCCATCCATACTGTGACGACGGCGGCGGTGGCGAGCGCGTGCTCTGGACGGCCATTGCCGCACTCGCGGAGAGGTGGGTCGCTTGAGAACGGACGCTGTCCAACGGAGAATGCTCGGCAAAGATGCGAGCGAACGTCGTTGTGGCCTCGTAGTCGCTGTGGTCTCGTAATTGTATCGTGAGTTCTAGTCAACCTGATTTTGCGTCATTTGGCGGGCTGCTTACCACAGAAACAGTCCTATTTGAACAATAAACAATCAGTAACTGATGGCATATTAGTGTCTGTCTTAGCAGAACCTGCAGTATTTTCCGATTTATTTTCGTTCTCCCTACTTCCCTTTGCCCTCTGACCCGCGTTCCCCCGTCGTCTTCTGCAGGTACCCTGGCTACCAGATCTCCGTATACACCGGCGACACTGCGGCCGACGCCGAGATATTCGCCCGGGTGCAGCAGCGGTTCGGCCTGCGCGTGCCGGACGGCGTGCGCCTGGTGCGTCTGAGGAGCCGCTGGCTGCTCGATCCGTCCTACTACCCGCTGCTGACGCTGCTCGGCCAGGCGGTCGGATCGGTGCTGGTGGCTCTGGAGGCGGTGCTCCGGCTGCTGCCTGGTAAGTGGATAAAGGGTGGTAGCTGTGAGCCCTGCATTGGTCGCCTGGTGAGTGGGCGGAGGGTGGTAGCTGTGAGCCCTGCATTGCTCGTTACCGCAATACGAACTTCCCACGTTCGTTCGATACCTTTCATGACTTACATCGACTTATCTACGAACGATACGGACACGGTATTTAATGCTTATGTGATTGTGCCTTTCAATGACTCGCATGACGACCGGCGTCTTTGTCCTTTTCCGCCAGATGTGTACATCGACTCGATGGGTTACGGGTTCACGCTGCCCGTGTTCCGCCTGCTGGGCGGCTGTCGGGTCGGCTGCTACGTCCACTACCCGACCATATCCTCCGACATGCTGGAGGCGGTCTCTGTAGGTCGCGCTGCCTTCAACAACCGAGCACAGTTCGCCAGCGTGGATGCCCTGCGCTGGATGAAGCTGGCCTACTACCGGCTGTTCGCTCAGCTGTACGGTCTCGTCGGCCGCGCTGCGCACGTCGTCATGGTGAACAGCTCGTGGACTCGTGCGCACGTGGTGGCTATCTGGGGCGGTGAGGGCCGTGTGAGCACAGTGTTCCCGCCGTGTGATCTGGAGCGACTGCAGCGACTGCCGGCGGAGGGGCCGAACGGCCGACGGCGACCATGTGTCCTGTCGGTGGGGCAGTTCCGACCGGAGAAGAATCACTCACTGCAGGTGGGTGCCGCTCGGGAGAGGAGACAGTTGGGGGAGGGGAGGCTTATAAGCCGCTTACTTGTAGGAATCGGGGGCTGCTAAGACGGAAACTGAAGTGGACGGTGCAATCTTCAGTGTTAGACTGTCTGGTACCTGCCAGGACTTTGCTGGGTTAATAGATGGTTTATCAGCGTCACGGTCACTTCTGTTGAAACCCGGTTTTCATGTTCAATCGTTTTCCCAGTTCAAATAAGGTTTTATCAGTGCTGCTCATCGGCAACCCTTTCCGTCCTGACCCGCCAATCTTTCATATGCGCTACCGCCATTGCAACTCGAGAGTTTCAGTTTCTTTCTGCACTGACTGGCGTCTTTTTTTGTGTCCCAGCTGGAGAGTTCCCAGTCCGTCGCTTCCCTGACTGACCACCCCCTGCGCCTCACTCTCGCTCAGCTGGAGAGTTTCAGCCGCCTGCTGCGGGACCACCCGGAGGAGACCGCCGACCTCCGACTGGTGCTGGTCGGAGGGTGTCGCGGCGCCGCCGATCAGACCCGTGTCAACGCGCTGAAGGCACTGGCTAACGCGCTAGGGATCTCTGAGAGATTTGAGCTGAGAGTGAATGTCGGGTATGATGAACTACTGGAGCTGTTCTCGGAGGCGCTCGTCGGACTACACACGATGAGGGACGAGCACTTTGGCATCGGTGAGTGGAGGGAGGGGAGGATTACACTGAGTTAGTTAGGGAGAGGGAGAGGAGGGAGAATAGGGAGAGGTGGAGCGCGAAAGGGCAGTGGGTTTCAGGGAGATGTTGATTAGGCGTGGATAGCGTAGTCTGAGGGAGGGGTAACGTGACAAAATGAAACATAAGCAGTGCAGTTGTACGATGTACGAAGGGAATGAAGTGATTCGAATGCTTGGAGAGAAAGAAGCGGTGTGGGATGCCTTGAAGAGCTCTGACTCATCCCTGTATCCTGATTTGCAGCTGTGGATGAATCATTGCCACGTTTTTATGATGAGACTGTTTGATTTGGCGTTCCTATGAGCTTTCATGTTTTCGACTCGTGTGTGTTGAATATTCAGCGTCTATCTCAGAATAATGCAAACACGTATTACTAGTGGCCGGCTGTATACTAAGCCCGAGTCCAGTCACGTTTTACTTGTCCTCTGATTGTCGTGCCACAACTGGCGTCTCTGGAACGCTACCCCTGCTCGCTTCCCAGCTTCTTTTATTCTTGCATCAGAATCATTCATCAAATTCATCTAATATTTTGTGAATATGCATTAGGCTGTGGCATCTAAGGAATTTTTCACTCTGGTAACATCTGCCGCCGGCTCCATGTTCCAGATGTGTAACTTACTCAACAATAGGGCATTGCGTCTCATCTCATAAATAGAGAGAGAATGTCTCGTCAGAAACATGTAAATATGCATGGATAATCCATTTGCATTCTACCAATTTATGGCGGAATTTATATTCAAATATTTTATTGTACTCCTTGGATATTTAACGATCTCTTGAAATGCTTCAGACTATCCAAAGCTACAATTTTCTGTCAGTATTAAGCAATTCCGCAGCCCTCTGACGCACTATCTCTTACCGCTTGCAGCCGATATTTACCTCTGTAGTCCTGGCGCTTTAAATCCAAATAATGCTGATAATCCCATCCCCGTTCGTTTTCCAGGTGTGGTTGAGATGATGGCGGCCGGCGTGGTGGTGGTGGCTCACTGTTCGGGGGGCCCTCTGACGGACATTGTCGACACGACTGAGGAGAGTCGCACCGGGTACCTGGCCTCCTCTGCCCGCCAGTATGCCGAGTGTATGCTGGCGGTATTGCGGGCTGATACGGGATACCTGGCAGATCTCAGGGCGAGAGCGAGGTAAGAGAGGCAGGAGGGCGTGGGGAGGGAGGGATGTATTGGAAAGTGATGCCAAATATTCTTTGCAGTTTCCAGTCTCAAGCTTCGCTCTCTTGAGAACGATATAATCTGAGTTAGGATTTTTGGAGCTATAGTGGTGCAGCATACAAATATTGTCGGTAAATTTCACCCTTAAGCATTTCCCTTTAGGCTGAAATTATATACTAACTTTTTTCTTATCGTTCGCAGGAAATCTTGTGACCGGTTCGGAGAGAAGCCGTTCTCGGACGACTTCCTGAGGGCGTGTCGGCCGCTTCTCTGAGCCGAGAGTCAGCCTTATGAAAGACACACCAATGCGCCAGTCGTGCAGACGAACGTTAGATCGGCGGGTATGAACGCTTCGCCGGTGCCTGCTGGAAGGAGAGACGTAGGTAGACGTAGTGTAGCTGTAGTAGCCAGTTCATCGCTGCGGCTTACTGCGAACTTCTTCCGACTCTCCGACGCTCTCTGACTTGACTCTGCCGGTTTGAAGTGCCTGCTGAGAACAGACCAGACACCTGCTCGCCCTTCCATCGCCATCGCAGCTTTGCTAAGTCGACTCCAGTTCTGACATTGCTGCAGTCATCACCGTCGCTTTGGCTTGCACTGGTCTTATCCAGACTTGGCTTATGTCTGGATGTGTTGTGAATTGTGATTCCACATGACATGTGTGCGTGGTGCGTTTTACAATGGCTCAATAGTGTGTTGCACTTGAGAAATCTCCTCCGACCAAATGTTTGGTATCCAGAGTTGTGTGCTTTGAGTGATGTAAGCAAACACATTTTGAGTATTGGGCTCAGAGAGCTTTATCCTTGTTACGCTACAGAGGGAACTATGGTTTTGCTTGTTCAGTTGGATTTATAGGTCACTGTTGATACACAAACAGCACTGTGATATCGTTTGGGTGGGTTAACGTGCACGAATGGCTATAACTAATAGGCACTCGTACTAAATTATAACCAAATAAATGACTACATAGTTCGGGCATTTACGGGACACTGTTTCTTGGATGGGCGCCGGGCACTTTGTGTGTGGGTCAGTGTGTTCTTTCAGGTTTTTAGAGAAACTCAAAATACATTTATATCCATGTAACCCCGGCTTTGAACTGCACCGTGGTTTGCTTGCTGCTTATGTAGTTCGTGCTTCTGTAGTTGCTAGTTACTGTCACCGAAGGGAGCTAACCGCGGTAGCAAGTGGCTATGACAGTACGATGTTTAGACTGGTATACTTATTATTGACTTGTGAAACTTGCATTGCTGTCGCCGGGCGTAAGTTTCGAGTTAGTTTTCCTGACCTTTCAAATACCGCGTTTCTTGCAATGTGGTCACTGGGTACGACTCCCCCTCCCCCTAAAGAAAAAGAAAAGAAAATGCATCACTCCGACCTAACCGCATAGCTCCAATGAATATGTGACCTCATTGGACCTAGCAGTGATCAAATATAAAATGAAATCCTGTTGCTGTTCAGGGCCTCCCTGGTGGCAACCTGAACAGCAATTCAGCGATTTAACAACGGAATTGATATGGTAAATCAAATTCAATTGAGATTGCTAATGAGTATACGGTGCAGGTCAAGATTACGTCGAAACTCGCTGCTGGCTGACTGCACGGTCACATAGTGGCCGCATTATTGGGCTAATAGTACATTATTCACAGGTTCCTCAGTGCGGTAAGGGTGACCGGCTCGGACGTGAACAGGCAGTTAGGTACGATATTTGAATGAGAGACCAGTTGCTTGGCCATTTGGCCAAGAACAGTAATTTGTAGTTCGGCATAAGTCATTCAAAATTACTTGTCTATTTCATCAGTTATGGGGCGACCGCAGCCCTAATTCTTGCTGCGCAGTGCACTGTATCACTTCTGACCTCATCCAGCACTCTATCTGCAGTCCGTACCCTTAGTTCAATTCAGACGGCACACCATTCGTGCTGGTCCTAAACCTGAACCCTGAGTTGACTTGACCCACCGTCAGGCACGCTCTGAGTATGCAATTGCTGTGCTGGTACTCATCATATACCTACACAATGCATCTCCACAGCATCACCGCAGAAATGTTCTGTCAGTGATCGATGGCTGTTAGGTCACTGGGTACGAGTCCTCCCCTTCATTCCCGAGGCACGCCACTGGTAATTCTGCTGTCATTGTTTATGCAAGAACACATCCCTGCAAGTTTGCTAAGTTGACTTGGCAGTTGACAGCGCATGATCGATGGCAAAATACTTACGATACAGTTTTGTACTTCGAGCAGGGCTATTGAAATCGATTGATGTCAAACCTTTTGTTCCAAAGATCTTAATTTTCTTTTAGCTATTTTTAGCTTTTTTAGTTTTTTTCTTTTTAGCTTTTTAGCTTTAATTTCTTTCTAGCTTCCAGTCACCGATGCCTGGGTACCTATTGTGCTACACATTTGTGGTTGCTTCCTGAAGGCCGACGAGACGGTCGCCAGATTAGTTCTCTTCTTTGCCATGGGCAAGATCTGGGGTGTGTAGACTGCAGAATTCAGGGTTGTGCTCGACTCAAAAAAATGTGCCGACTCGACTCATCATTCAACTTCAAAAAGCCCTGACTCAACACTGACTCAAGCAAGGAACTGATTTTTTCCCTTGACTCGACTCATGACTCAAGCGGCTCGATGAAAATATGAGTCGACTCAAACTTGACTCAAATTTTTTGTTGAGTCAAGTGAGTTGACTCAAAATTGACTCAAGTTGTTGAGCGGGGGGAGGTGAAAAAAATCTGGCAGCAAAGCCAGGCCTAAGAATATATATTATATGTATATCCCTCGCCGGCACAGGCCATTTTGCGTCCTTCGACGGCACAAGGGGGGGGGGGGGTTGGTACGACCCCCCCCTCGCGTTTGGCCCCTGATCGAGCTAGAGCTTTGCGGAAAAAACGAGCGTGTTGCCCGTCACGAGAGGAAGCCGATGATACCCAATTTTAAGGTCCTAGGTCATCGGGTGACCTTCCAGGTCAGGTCAATGACCCGAAAACCGGGAAAAATCGGGACCTGTTAGAAAGTCGTAAAGTGTGGCTGCTATGTGGTTTTCCGGGGTGCTGATCACGAATATCGTGTTAGTTTTGATCAGAGATGATGTTTTTAAGCATTTGGACCAGGTCGGGTCAGGTCAGGTCAGGTCAACCGGTAGGGGTTGTGACGGGTATTCGTAATACGTGTCAACCACCTCTGACAGCTTCGTAACATGTTACGAAGGTACCAAAACTACTTCGTTAATGTTCAAATGGTTGCTAAATTCGAATTCAGCTCCAAAAACTAGCCTAGCAACATATAAAACTCGAAAAAGTGAACCGAGGTCACCCGAGGTCACCAAAGGTCAATGACCTGACCTGACCTTCAGGTGCCCTTGACACCCACCGTAATGTATGGGAGCAACACCAAATCACATGTTTGAACGTTTGAAACCACGAAAAGCTTGCAAACGCGCGGCTAATGCGAGCCGACATACGCCGAATCGCGATTTCGGCCAAACATGGTCACGGAAAAGAGGTCACAGGTCAAAGGTCATTGGGGTCAGGGTCATGAAATTTTTAGGGAACGTGTAAAATTGATCAATGCGAGGGTACTGAAAGTTTCGTCGCGATCGGCCGCTTTTTACGCGAGTTATTCGCGAAAAACCTTAGGGGGGTTGCATCAACCCCCCCCCCCCCCCTGTGCCGGCGAGGGATATATAATATATACTGTTTCTGGAAAGTTGAGTCAGCTGACTCGTGTTTTTAAATGTTTGACTCAACTCAATGTCAAAAGCTATTTTGCTGACTCAACTCTGACTTAACTCAACGCCTTAATATTTTTGTCCGACTCAACTCTGACTCAACTCAACAGCTCAACATTTTATCCGACTCGACCCAAATCTGACTCATTTGAGTCAGAGTTGAGTCAAATTTCTGACTCGACTCATGAGTCAAGCACAACCCTGCTGCAGATGGCATCTATTCCGTACTAATGTAATCGATTGAAGTTGTTTGCCGGTGCCCTATACTCGTAGAAGCATAAAATGAGATAACTAGCGGCCTAGCGGGCATTTCATCAGTTCTAGCCGTAGTGCATATGTTTCCCACTACTATGCATTTCAGACCCCATGAGACCCTAATTTTCGGCGATAATTTATTTACTATTTGTCCAATTTGCCTCAAATTTTCACAATGCACATTTCAGCTCAAGCGCCAATTTTCGTCAATATGGTTTCTTAACAAAATATCAAATTTTAGGGTACTTGTCGTTGCCTCGTAATGTTAAAATCGGCTCCGTAAATCCGTCAGTGGAGTAGAGGCTATCCGTGCGTAGGTGTGACGTCACAGGCACGTGACCATTAAGCTCCGCCCTCCCGGCGAACGGAGCGGTGACCTTGGCCGGTCAGTCGGATGCGTGGAGCCGACGGGGCAGTAGCTGCCGGACCCAAGGCCGTATGCCGGACCGGGGCGGCTCGCATTGGACGTGGCTGTCTTGCGGTTGCCGTTGCAGTAATAACGATACAGCAGAAACTAGCGCTCGTAATAAGCGCACTAGCCTTCGTTATTGCATTTATCGCAAATTAACCTACACCATGTCAATCAATAAAGATATACCTACTTTAATACTAAGTTCAGGGCTAGTGACTGCATTTTTTCTTGATTGAACGTTTAAAAAAAAATCGTGGATGTCAATTGACTGTGAACTGATGCAAGACGTCGGTCAGCCTACGTGTCAAATTTGCAAGACATGGTAAAGAGTCTACACCGTAGCATTTAAGAAGTGTGGTTGCAATATGAAATATATTATGCTTATGCGTATGCTTAAGATGGATTCATGTGATTGCGATGCAACATGAACACCTTCAGAACTAATCCATTTTATAATTGGCTAGATTGAGATCACCGGTGATCGGACTGACTTGACCCCAGGCTTTCGTGTTGAACTGCAAATAATTAAAACACCTGTACCTAAGTAGGTAACCTGCTGCCTCACTGTTGGAGAGCTTGAAAAGTTACTTTAGTTTCACAAAAAGACGCGATTTCTTTATTAGCCTATGCGCCTGTTTCCCTTATTTTGATGTCACATTTCTACCATGCGCAGTAAATCGCACATCACATTTCTGCTCCTTTCTCAACGCTTCCCGAATTACGAACACAGCTCGTGGAGCGATGTCTTAGGCAATCGGAAGTGCTCGCGACGGCTGTTGTTTTCTGCATAGATATAACAGCGTCTTCAGAAACAGCGATCGACGCAGCCAACCATATCGATAATTTCGAGTGGTGCGGAGGCTTCGCATGATGTCATAGGCGACAGGTGACAGAATAGTGGCAAGACCTGACCATGAGATATGCGCCAGAATGTGCATTCATTCAGATATTCAGATAGTGCATGACTCAGCTCTCTATTTAAAGTTGATTCTGGGGAGGTTAATATCCTCATTATGAGTATTCTTCATATTCTGAGCTGGATCTGCGTTGATATACCAAAAAGATAGAAGCGGTTACCAACTACCCCAAATGAAGAGCAAGCTTTCGCTCAGACACTTCCTGTCGATTCCATGTATGTTTCCAGTGCGCGGCCCCCGTGCGACCTCCCCACGGTGCTGCCGCCGACTGAGCCGGCAATCGGCATAGACCCAGCGCGGTCACGACCAGTGGGCGGAGTTTAGTTGGGCCCGGCGCGACGTGATTGGCCAGCGCTCCCATCCAATCCGCTGCGGTAGCGAACGAGCCTCTATCCGGGTGCAAAATCTAGTTAGCATTACGGGCCTATGACAAGTGCTCTAAATATTGACATTTTGTTAAGAGACCATATTGATGAAAATCGGCGCTTGAGCTGAAATGTCTGATGTCAAAATTTCAAGCCGATTAGACAAAAACTGAAGAAATTATCGCCGAAAAACAGGGTCTCATGGGGTCTGAAATGCATAGTAGATGTCTCTAGTTACACCTTATTGTGCTGGAGGTCGCAAAAGAAGTGAAGCAAACCTAAAAGAGTTTATTATTATAATTGTTAACTTCTGTCTTATCCTTTCAGAAATGATTTCCATCGCCTATGTCTAGTGCATATTGTCCCGCTTGCCCGATTCCCCTCCGTATCCTCCTCCGCAGCGGAGTCTCCGCGGGAAGCCGGGGCGGCCGTCTGGCCGGGCGGAGGCACGCCGGCCCAGGTGCTGCGGGCCGGCCTACCTGTCGGGCGGCGCGGCCGGCCGGCCATTGGCGGCGGCGTGCCAGCGCGCCCCCTCCCCTCCGCCGGCCGGCGCGGCGCGGCGCGGCGCCGGCCAGTCTTGTGAGCGGGGTGCACCGGGGAGGGCCGCCGCGCGCGCGCAGCACCGACAGCGTGACAGTGCCATGACGTGAATGCGCGAGTGCCGTACTGGGTGGACACTGCGCGTCCATCCTGACTGAGACAGCTGCCTCGAACGAGCGCGCGCGAGAGAGAGCGAGTGTCTGTGTGTGCCAATACCGTGCCATCCGCGCCGCGCCGCGGGACCATGGAGCTAGTGCAAATGCGGCCGCTGTGGCTGCTGCTGGCACTGCTGCTGCAGTGTTTGACTTCGAACGCGCAGGGTCCCGGTGACCGTGGGGGACCGATCCGGTCGCGGGCGGTGCGTGAGGAATACGAACCAGGTGGGCCGTCGCGCGCCATCACAACTCGGGTCGAACTTGAGATCGAGGAGGGCCAGCCTCCGGACACACTGGTGGGCACGATCCCGATCCGGCCCAACTTCAAGTACCGCTTCAACGAGGAGCCGCGCGAGTTTCGGCTAAACGCCACCACGGGCGAGATCCGTACCGTCGGCGATCTGGACCGCGAGTCGCTCCGCTCGGAGAAGTTCGACCTGGTGATCCTGTCGTCTCAGCCCACCTACCCGATCGAGGTGCGCATCGTGGTGCTGGACGTGAACGACAACGCGCCGGTGTTCCCGGAGCCATCGATCGCCATCAGCTTCTCCGAGTCTGTCAGCACCGGCACTAGGGTCATCCTGGACACGGCCTCCGACGGAGACGCCGGCGAGAACGACGTCACCACGAACTACAAGATCATCGGCGGCAACGAGGACGACAACTTCAAACTGGTGGTGACGACGAACCCCAGCGGAGAGACGCCCTATCTCCACATGGAGACCAAGGGTCAGCTGGACCGCGAGTTCAAGTCGTTCTACCAGCTCAACATCTCGGCCGAGGATGGCGGCAACCCGAAGCTGTTCGGCTACCTGCTGGTCAACATCACGATCCTTGACGTGAACGACAACCCGCCGATCTTCGACCACAGCGACTACACGGTCAGTCTGAACGAGTCGGTGCCGCCCGGCAGTCCGGTGCTGCAGGTGATGGCCAGCGACGCCGATGATGGCGACAACGCACGCATCACCTATTTCTTGCCGGACGACCAAACTCAGTTCGAGGTCGATCGGGAGACGGGCGTCATCTCCACACTGGACACGCTGTCCTGTGAGCAGAAGTGTCCCGGCCCGGTCAACTGCAGCAAGTCGTGTGTGTTCACGGTGTTTGCTCGCGATCACGGCTCTCCGCAGCAGAACGGTCGTACCTACGTCACTGTGAACCTGCTGGACGCCAACGATCATGACCCGATCGTCAAGTTCCGCTACTTCCCGGCCACGGCCGAGCACGCCACTGTCGATGAGAACGCCCAGAACGGCACCGTCGTGGCGGCCGTGTCGGTCGTGGACATGGATGAAGGCGTCAACAGCGAGACCTATATCGAGATCACTGATGGCAACCAGCTGGGACACTTCCGACTGGAGAAGTCACAGAGCTTCGACATAGTGCGCGTGAATGGTGTGCTAGATCGCGAGAAGCTCAACAAATACAACCTGACGATCGTGGCGACGGACCGTGGCTCACCACCGCGCAGCTCCACTGCCTTCCTCATCATCCAGGTGAACGACATCAATGACCACGCACCTGCCTTCGAGAAATCGGAGTACTCAGCAGTGCTGAGTGAAACGGTACCCGTAGGGACGTATGTCGCCGGCATTACAGCCACAGATGAAGATACGGGCATAAACTCCAACATATACTACGCTATCGTGTCCGGCGACGACTCGCAGTGGTTCAACATCGACGTCAACACGGGCTTGATCACGACACGAACCGAGCTGGATCGTGAGCTAAAAGACACGGTGCTGCTCAACATCACAGCCAGGGATGGTGGACCAAACCCAAAGAAGGCGGCCACTCAACTCAAGGTTAACATTCTAGACGAGAATGACGAGCGGCCGACATTCCGAGAGCCTGTGGTGAACATCAGTCTGTCTGAGAACACCCAGCCGCGCACACTGGTCGCCATCGTCGAGGCGGTGGACAACGACCAGGGCACCAACGGCACCGTCACCTACCACTTCCACGACGATGTTGAGGAAGACTACCCGGGAACATTCGCGCTCGGGCCTTCCTCGGGTCGCGTCACGACCAAGACAAAGCTGGACCGCGAGGCAATGCCCAACTGCGTGATCAAGGTGATCGCACGGGACCAGGGCATTCCTCCCGTCTCCTCCACCGCCACCATCAACCTCGAACTGCAGGACGTGAATGACAACTCGCCCGAGATCTATCCTCAGCGCTACTTTGTGACGGTGCCGGAGGATATGGAGAAGGGAAGCCCGGTGGTCAAGGTCACGGCCAGCGATAAGGATGAGGGCGAAAACGCCATCATAAGCTACGAGATCACTGAAGGCGATGAGAACACGTTCGAGATCGAGAGGGCGACCGGTGTGGTGCGTCTGAAGGGCAAACTGAGCAGAAGTGCCAAGTCGAGCTACCAGCTCAAGGTGTCTGCGGCTGACATGGGCGGTCGTCGTGCCCAGGAAGACGCCGTGGTCGACATCGTGCTCGAGAGTGACCAGCTGCGTGACCTCGAGTTCGAGAAGACCGGTGGCTACCGCTTCTCGGTCGAAGAAGATCCTGGGAAGAAGACGCCAGACACTGGCCGGGTGGTTGGCAAGGTGAGCGTCTCAAACGCACCCGAAGGCGCAGAAGTTGCTTACGCCATCGTCTCTGGCGACAGGGACGGCATCTTCTCGATGGACGCGAAGTCAGGTGAGATCAAGACGGCGCGGCGTATCGACCGCGAGGAGACAGCCACTTACAATCTAAAGGTGGTGGCCACCTCCAGCGGCTCATACGGCTCCACAGTCGTCAATATCGATGTTGATGATGTCAATGACAGTCCACCGCGCTTCAAGAAGACCCGCACTGTGGCACATGTCGAGGAACGGCGTCCGATCGGACACGAAGTCTTCCTGTCTCGTGCCGAAGACAACGACGCAGGTGACAACAGCAAGATCACGTACTCGCTGTCCAAGAACCCAGGCGGCTTCTTCAAGATCGACTCGGAGACTGGTATGATCTACCTGACGAAGAAGCTGGAGCTGGTGAAGCAGCGTCAGTTTGACCTGGAAGTGACGGCGGTGGACGGCGGCACTCCGCCGCTGAACGCCCGTCAGAAAATCGCTATGATCATCGATGACGTTAACGATCATACACCCGTGTTCGGTCATCCGTCCTATGAGGTCTCGCTTCTCGAGTCGACGGCCGTCAACGACCGCTTCTTCTCACTCACGGCCTCGGACGCCGATGAAGGAAAGAACGGCTTCATCTCGTATGAGATCACCCATGGAAACGAACAAGAAAAGTTCGGAATATTCCCTGATGGCTTCCTCTACATCAAGAGCGCACTGGACAGAGAGGAGTGGGACTACTACGCCATCACGGTGGTGGCCACTGACCACGGTGATCCTCCACGAAGCTCGACCACCTCAGTCGTCATCCATGTCATTGATGTCAACGATCACTCGCCAGTTTTCGCCAATAAGACATTCAACTTCTACGTGGCCGAGAATGAGCCGCCAGACTCGTACGTCGGCAAGCTGCTGGCCGCCGACGAAGACAAGGGTCGGAACGCAGAGCTGACGTTCGCGCTGGCTTCGGACGCCACCGACTTCACGGTCGATCCAAAGAGTGGCTTCATCAAGACACTGCACTACTTCGACCGTGAGGCTCTAGTCATTGAGACAGGTCGTGATTACATCACTCTGGAGGCAGTGGTGCGAGACAACGGCGCTTCGCCTCGCAACGACACGGCCGAGGTCAACATTCACATCGTCGATACCAACGACAACGCGCCCGTGTTCACGCGGCTGCCGCAGTCCACCCAGGTCAGCGAGCTCGCCTCCATCGGCACGCTCGTGGCACGGATCTCGGCCACTGATGCTGACGCCGCGCTCAACGGTGACGTGGTGTACGCCCTGGTGGACGGCAACGAGGAAAGCAAGTTCCGGGTGGACGCCAGTACGGGTCAGCTGCTGGTGGCCGGCCTGCTGGACCGCGAGGCGCAGGACCGTTACGTGCTGACGGTGGCCGCCAGTGACGCTGCCGCCGAGGATTCGCTCACATCCACTGCTACAGTGCGTGTTGATGTGCTTGATGAGAACGACAACCAGCCTGAGTTCACACAAACCGAGGCGTCCATCTCAATCCCCGAGACGACCGAGATCGGCACGGAGCTGATGCAGTTCCAGGCTACCGATCCTGACCTCGGCATCAACCAGGAGGTCAGCTTTGGCATCGCCAGCGGCGCTGGTCAGGGCACATTCCGGATCGATACTCACACCGGCACTCTGTTCCTCGACAAGGCGCTCGACTTCGAGCGTCAGAGTGTCTACAACATGAATATCACGGCGAGTGACGCGGGTAAGCCTCGGCTAACCGCCACCATCACATTCTCCATCTTCGTCCGGGACGTGAATGACAACCCACCTAGCTTCCCGATCACGGCCATCGTCAACCAGATCCCTGAGGGCATCGAGCCAGGCACAGAGATCGTCACTGTGAAGGCGTCTGATGCCGACTCTGGTGACAACGGACGCGTCGAGTACAGCATCGCGCGTCAAGAGCCGCGTGGTGACCACTTTGGTATCCGTCCGGACAAGGGTGTCATCTACGTCAAGGGTCCGATCGACCGGGAAGTGGCCGACACGTACCGTCTGACCATCCTGGCCACGGATCTGGCGCAGCCGCCCGAGAAGCGCCTGAGCGCCGAGAAGCTGGCCACGGTGATTGTGGATGATATCAACGACAGCGCGCCCGAGTTTGTCTCGATGAGCGCCGCCATTCTGCCGGAAAACTCGCGACGGGGCTATGTGGTGACGACGGTGCGCGCTGAGGACCCAGATGCAAGCACTAACGGACGCGTCACCTACGAGCTGGCCGACGGCGACCGCTCGCTGTTCCAGCTGGACCGACTGAATGGTGACCTGGTGCTGACCCGTGACCTGGCTGTCCCGGCGGCCACCTACCAGGTCACTGTGACCGCCACCGACGAGGCGGCTCAGTCTCAGCGGCGCGCCACCGACACCGTCATCACCATCCTCGGCCGCACGGCCACGCCTGGCCCTGTGTTCGGCGAGAAGCAGTATCGCGCCAGCGTGCTGGAGAACCAACCGGTGGGCACCAGCGTGCTGACCGTGTCAGCCACCTTCCCGACGAGCTCCCTGAGTGACATCGAGTACTACGTCACTAACGTGACGGCGCGCGGACGGCCCACCAGTCGCGCGTTCGCTGTCGACACCCGCCGCGGCGTACTCTCCACCGCCGAGGTGCTCGACCGCGAGTCGGGTCTCGACCAGTACGAGGTCGAGGTCACGGCCATCCTGGCGCACGGCGTTACACCGCAGGTCACCAGTGTCAAGGTAGGTCACAAGGCAGTCCGCCTCGCGGGGCTTTTCGTGGTCTGTCGTGAGCTATCTAATCAGGAGGTGTTTTGATGTTCCACGTACTTCTTCACCGTGTCTTGAGTAGGCGTGGGCTTGTAAATGCTATCAGGGTGACGTAACTTGTATTCCCTGGCAATAACAATGCTGTATGTCCGATCAAGTCCACACCTTAGTCGTTGATCCTTTGAAACCGATGACATGATTCCTACGACACTTTCTCACGGCTAACACTGGCAACGTTGTGCTGTATACAAGCATGAATTATTAATTACCACAACCTCTATTTTTCCATGTCCAAGGCTCTTTGTGGTTTACACATTCGATTCTTGTCACGTGTTACGCTTGGTGGTCCTTTTCGTCATCTACATTCGTCCTTTCCGCTGAAATTTCGGTCCAGGTGTTCGCTCACCGCTCCATCACAAAGTCAGTCGATAAAGCTCACTATGGCCAATATGCACTGACGACACTCCTGTTGTAGATATCGTCAGGGCGCGGTGTTCGCGTGTACACTCGCCGTCGCGGACCGGCGTTATCCGCGTGTTAGCCGCGCACCGAGCCCTGATCCGCTATCGGTGATAGTTCGGTCCGCGCCAGGATATTAATCGGAACATGGCCTCAGCCGGCCGGCTGAGCACAGGCTGGTTTTTGGCGCGGCCAGGAGCCGTGGGACCGGCGGCACTCGAGCCGTGGCGCTACTCAAAAGTGACTTATTCCGGCGACCGGGCGGCACAGGCGCCTCACGTGAGCCCCGCTGAGTTCCTGAGCCGGCACGGGCGCACGGATGGTCGGTCGGTGTAGGTCCGAAGTTACCGGGCTGATCGGGTAGGTACCACTCGGCTTCGATGTGTGAATTTCTTAGCGATGTCGGGTGGCAGAATCGCCTCTTTACCTCCTCATCCTGCTCTGTAAGATATATGTCCGACCTGTCATGGATCCTGTCACTCGTCGGTGGTCGTGTCTCAGACGAGCGTCCCATGTTCTGAGAGGAAAATGAGCTCAGTTGGACCGAGCCTTGTGCATGATTCACGCTTGCAGCCGGGTCGTGTGTGTAAACTGTTGAATTTGGCACTTGACAGCCCTCAATTTTGGCGTCAAATGCTGCCCGTTATTACCTGTGGCCGACCGTGTTGAATATGCTAAATCGTTCGCCGAAGCTCACGCCACCGAACGTATCGCCAAATCGGCGTGTGTTCGTGCACGCCGCCAGAGAAATCAAACCTGCTTAGCACATAGCGGTGCCGCCTGCCGAGAAGAGGAACATGGGCTACATGGACGTCATGCTAATAGACGCGTCACCTTACCTGGCCTGGAGCCGTCGCCTCAAAGTCACCCCAGACCTTGATGGAGCATGAAAGCATGTCCCCGAGTGCTTGCGCAATGCTTACCCACGATCTTGATAGCTATTTATGGGCGACAGATCGCATGTGATAGTCAAGGGACTGGACGCGCCGGGACAATCGTTAGTGCTAATTAATTCTGACCAAACTCGTGATTATGAGGTCCCAAGTGATCAGCTCGGCCGTCACCATTCCACCGATCTTGGTGATCTTAAATCGACGCTGTGTACGGGAAATGCCTACATGTGTTTCCCGGAAACCAAATGGTGGAAAGATTATTCCCAATTATATGGAAATGGCTGTCATTATCTCATTTAGAATACTTCCGGTCGTCTAAATTGTATCGCCATTACAATGAAACCACTGATGAACACGCAAATTTAACTGATGAGCCCGGGTCCGCCACGGCCTTTGTGGCCGGCTGTGATCGGCTGATGTCGGTGACCGTGTCTCCTAACCCGTGTCACGGTGGCGGCCGGCCGGCTGGTGGCGTGTGTGAGCAGCACGTCCCAGCTGCCCGGGGCGCCCCCGCCGCCCCCGCCCCCGCCCTGGCTCTCACCTCGCCGCCTGGTGGTCCGCCGCCGCCGCCGCGCCGCTCCGGCCGCGTGCGTTTAACTGGAAGCCTGCTATTACCTGTGGGTCGCGTTCGGGTGGTAATTTTCTGGACACGTTCGGAATTTGGCCGTCTCTCTCTCGGCGGCGGCGGGGCGCGGGGTCTGGGGCTCGGGACCGGACGGACGGCGAGTAGATTAACTGCGCCTCGGGCCGGCTGCGCTCGGCGCGGCCCGCAGACAACCCTCCTCCCATTATCTACCAGCCGTCTGTGAGGGCCTTTTTGATTCACGATTGAATGGGATCCGCTCGAAAGAGGTCGTAAAGTGAAAAGGAATAATACGGAGAGGAGGTGTGCAGCGTGACGCTTCTCGCGGTTCTCCGGTCGCGCTCGGCATCCGTCCGGTCTCAGCGATCGGTCGGGGTCGGGGTCTGACACCGGGCGGTCGGGGTCGGACACCGGGCGGTCGGTACTGTCACCACTTCCCGCCTCGTCCAACCAGCCGTGGGAGCGCCGGCCGAGCGCGACGGAGCGTGTTTCTGTTACTGAGCCGTTTATTGCCGCCGTCGAATACACGACCGTGACAAATTCGACACGTCGCGCCGGCTCGCCATTAGCATAATTACCATGGTGCGGTGGGCGATGCGCCAGGCGAGCTTTACGAGGACGCGAGCGTGGCGGCCGAGCCCTGCGGCAGAGCCGTGTGGGGTGTGCCGAAATCGGGGGCCGCGGGTCAAACCAACACTGAGAGATGTGGCAAGCCGAAAACAGATCCGCCAACGCGGGGCTGGTGTCTCAGACCTCATTGAGCGCTCTGATATACAGTGTCGGAGCGCATTAGTTGATGTCCTTCACTTTGGCGGCTGTATCGGTGCTGTTTTGGCGAGGGACCACAGCGAGCGCCGGGTACGACTGAGAGCTTTCCGAAGCTGCTCGGCGACGGAATGCTGTATCTGCCTAATGTAAACTGGCGTGACAAACAAACCGGACACCGTGACCTCGGTGACATGGTGCGGCTCTGTCATCACCCAGCGGAATTTCTCGGTCCCCGTCTCTCCTCTATTGGCGCTCCCCGCCAAGTTGAGTCAGCGGCGGCTCGCCGCAGGCCCGCTGAGGCCGCCGCGAAGGGTCACACATCCGGCGGAGTCGCTGGACAACCGGCCCGTCCTCCCTCCACCGGAGTCGGGGCGTCTCCACAGCCGCCAGCACCTTCTGGGAAGCGTCTCCATGGTGCGCGCGGGGCGCCGCCCCCGGCGCACCCTCCAACCGCAGCGGATGGGGCGAGCGACCCGCCGGCACAGCCAGATGGCCGGCCGACGTGCGTGCAGAATGCAGATGGATCTGTCCTCGTGTCACCCGCTCCGCCCGGGCCGCTGCCCGCCGCCCCGACAACTTGTTTTGATCATACGGACTCTGTTATTCCGTTCGTTACGTGGCTGCATTGTGGAGTGGTAAACAGACTCGCGTCTTCTGGGCTATCTATCAGACTGGACGTTCGGCCATCTCGGGACCGAGTCGGGCCTCGGCTTTTTAATGGTAAACTAACTCTCCCATTTACCCTCCTGTCTATCATTCTGGCGGTGTCGGGGTTTGGTTGGGCGCCGGCGGCCGGCCGGTCCGTCCGCCGTCCCTGCCGCCGCGGCGGGCCAGGGGCGGCCGAAGCGCCCGCCGACCGGCCGGCCGGCCGCCGCGCGCACCGGGCATCCCAATGAGCAGCGCCGGCCAGCCGCGGCGGCCATCTTGGATACTTGGTCAGCTGGCGGCGGCGGCGGCGGCAGCGGCGGTGCTGATTCAGCGTCCTCCGCCGCCGCAACGGCCGGCCGCCGCTCCACGCCGCCGCCGCCCGAATTAAGCGGTTCTATCTGTGCACGGACAGGTGCATTGTGACAGTGTGATCCGACCGGACGCATGTTGGCCGCTGGATGGGGTGCTGATAACGGGACGCCGCTATCGCCAGCCGCGCTCTGTTGTTATTTATCACGCCGCTCACGTACTCTCGGCGGCCGAGGTGGGGCCAACACGCACGAGGGCCGGCATCCGACTCGTCCGGTCCCCCCCCCCCAACCCCCTCTGGGGCGGCGGCCAGCTCAGACACTCGCGCAGTCACAGCGATTTTTCGGGTTCAGCTAGTCGTGACCAACGACACAAACCTGATTGTTGCGAAACGCGACGATGCAAGAAATCGTGGCTTTTGGTGAGGAGCAAAACATTTCAGGTTCCGGGGGTGACTGGGGACGGCCCTAGCAGCTGGAATGGCCCGCCGAGGCCGCGCTCAGTCTCCGGGTGCCATGTGGTGGGAAGGAGGCCGAGGTATTCGGCTTCGGCCTCTTACAGAGGAGGCGGCGTTCGCGGTATTCATCGCCGGCATTCGAGCGCTGTCAGGGCCGTATTGGATGGCTGTCAGGACTCGTCAGCGCCGACCGGTGTGCTGTACCGACAGACGGGGCCGACCGAGCGGCGGCGCCCTCCGCTAACGGTACAGGTCGGGAGAGGCGGGAGAACATCTCACAGCGGCCGGGAGGACACGGCGCGGCACCTGCTGCCGACGAGTCGGCTCCAACAGCCGCTCAGTGGTGCCCGGTGGACCGGCGATGAAAGGGGTGCGCGCCGTGCGACTCGGAGAGCACTTGTGGTGAAGGCCGCCGGTCGAGGCGCCTCCCTTCCCAGGGCCGCGCCAACTAACAGGCCATCTGCCGACCGCCGCCCCGACATGAAAGCCGCACCGGGGCCCGTCAAGGGCGTTCGCTGCTCTCCGGGGCATCAGAACACGCATCGGCCCCCAGTATCGGCGCCGGAATCCATTCAAAGTCGCACACCGGGCGGCGGCTGGTCACTACAAGCGACTGCACTCGGTGGACCGGCTATCTCTCCGGCACAATCACTAGCAGCCGGCTGTCACTGCCACTCTGCACGGGGAGCAAATCTCGCGTGCGGGTGGAGTTGGGGTTGGACTGCGCCGCCCAAGACACCCCTCCCCCACCCCCCGGTCTAGTCACGCAGCGCCGGAACTGGGAGACCCAGGAATGTGCTGCTATCAGACGGTGCAGGGGTCTGCGATCTTGTGGTATCACGTCATCCCCAGAATG